TGACACTTGACCTGTGGGTCGTATCTCTTGAGGCATTAATTGTTCTTGGAACTATGTTTTTGGTGTAAAACAAACTATGTGATAAAAAGGCTAGTGAGAGCGGTTTGGTGATGTATATGCATTTTTCTAGAATATCAATCAATGCCAAGTAGCCTTTATACCCTTAGAGGATGAAGGGGTTTTTAATTAGGTAATCATAGGAAGAAAATCTTTCCGTAAGGGGGGCAAAGTGGGAAGTCGTATCTTGAAATACTGCGTAACTAGAAAACTTCCAAGTGTCGCTTGATACCTAGGTAGATATAGATGTCCTATTGCGAATACCCAAGGGCTTGATTACTATGAAGATGCTAATGTACGTCCTTCCTTTGGTTAGTTTCAATAAGTTGCATTCTCTTTATACGTATTTCAAGTAGCCAGCAACACCAATATCGCATAACCTCAATATGAGGACTAAATATTCAGGTAATATTCATCATCTTTGATTGAGGCAGCGGGGAACTTAAGCACGAAGCAGCGCCCTGAACTTTACTGACCAGACTTATATTTTGATAATACTTGAATTAATGAAGCGGTCGCTTTACAAGCTATTGTCTACACCATTGGTAACCCCCTTGGAAACACCATTGGTAACTCCATTAGGAACATGCACCTTGTCCAGAAAGGCCAAGTCTCGAGGCCTGGTAAGCGAGGCCATGATTTCCTCCCTCGACCTGCTCACATCGCTTTTGACATGTGCAATGTAAAGTTGCTGAATCATCTCCGTAACTGCTCCGCGTTTGCCGTCGCCAATCTGCCGGCCATCAACCTCGACAACATGAATCTGGCTGGGAAATGTCCCGGTGCAGAATGCCTCATCCGCCCCATACACCTCTGTTAAGGAGAAATCGAGCTCGCGGACTACGATACCTGCAGCCCGGCAAATGTCAATCACTTTCTGCCTCGTGATGCCTTGCATTTGGTTGTCCTTTGTCGGAGCCCAGACCTCGGAGCCTCGGACAATAAAGAAGTTGGTTGAGTTGCAGGTTTTGACGAATCCGCGCTGGTCCAACATGAGCGCTTCGTCAACACCCATTACATTGGCACTGATGCAAGCCTGTACATCCGTGGCCTTGGAGATGTGGTTCCACTGCTCATCCTTGACGTCAGGAGGTCCGCGGCGAACCCAGGTTGTGGCAAGTCTAAGACCCCGAGACTTGGACTCTGTGGAGACTGCTTTCACCTCGGGGATCATAACGATTAAAGGGACACCGACGTTCACACTTGGGTTTTGATATGGTGTTGACTTGAGACCTCTGCTCACAACAAGCCTGATGTGGACATGGGCCTCTTCGGCCATGTCATTGGCGTCAATGGTCTTGTGAAGTAGATCGAGTAGGTCACCTTTACTTAGTCCCATGTCCATGTACATGGCTTTCGCCGACTGGAAGAGACGGTTAATGTGCTCGTAGGCAAACTGGACTCGACCATGATTGGCACGGATTCCCTCCTGTTACCAGCTATGTCAGTGCCAAGATTGCAATAAAAGTGATGTTCTGGGAGGAGGAAAGGGAGGATAAGGGAGAAGGACGAGTGTACATACCCATATTCCATCCCCAACGAGAAAATTGGAATCAAATACGGAGATGGTGGCTTGTTCCCGAGGAACGAGCTTGAATTCGCCGGTCACGCCATCGCGCATCCCAACCTAGGAAAATGATTTGTAAGCTTTGTATTTTCTTTCACCGTCTTGTCAGCTGTGGGACGTACTAGAATGGATTCATTCTTTGCGTTGAAGACACTGTCGTGTGTTGCACCGGAGCCGTTGCTGTGTCCCATGTTGAAAGATGTGTTGTTGGTATAGCTATACTTGATCTGCATAAGTTGAAAGATAACTAATCTCATCAAATTAGTCTGCAAGATGGGCTTAGCTTTGTATATGCAGATGAGTCCTTATCAGAACTTGAAGATCCTTTGCCACAAAGATTAATCTGCCACCTGGCTTAGCTGTGTGATGGATGCTCTTCGGTGTGCCCCGAAGGCGGGGCCTCTTACAGGAAGCGAGTCGGACGACACCGAGGTCTCGGGAGCTCCCGAGTCACGCAACCAGTGGTCCAAATGGCGATTCAGAAGAATCGTTTGGCGTTAGTGGAGACGAGTACAGTATCTTGGAGAGCAACGCAACTTAGCCATTAGTCACAGAAACCACATCTTCGACCGGCGAGAGTTACGTGGAGAATTGGGGGCAGGGCATGGAGAAACATGTTGCTAGCCAAAGAGCTATATGCTGGAGGACTGATTCGAAGATCGCTTATCTCATTGTGATTCGAGCAAAGCAAATTGAAGAAAGTTTGGTATTTTCATTACACTCGTTATATCACCCTAGCTCATAATAGCGTCGTACCAGTTCGATAGCATGTTATCAATGTCCAGCACACCAGCATCAAAAAGATCAGTCACTTCATTCCTATAGGCATCTAGGCCATCCTCCATCGCTGCCATTGGATTTTGCACTCCATACATGCTCGCGGGGTCTGATGGTGGGTTCCAGAATTGCGCTGGCTGAGCAAAGGCGGTGCTATCATCTGAATCGACGCCCAGAGGGTTTTTAGACGATAGTGGCCCATACACCTTCAGCCGAGCAGCATGGAATAGGTCTCGGAACTTGGATAGCGCAGGTTCGTTAATAAGCTTTATTCCTCTCTCAAGGAGGTCAAGAACAACGGCGGTCTCCTGGCCATGGCGATGGGGAGCCATGGATCCTCGTGAGTTAACACTCGATGTAACTGATGAAGTTACCATAGTAGATTGCCTAGTATTTAAGAGAATGATTAGCAAACGAGCATCTTCATTAGACGAAAGTAAAAGATATCTCACCAGTCGCAGTACAAGGCAGCGAGCCCAACAAGTAAAATAGAGTGTAGTTGGCGCGGGGAGGGACATGCCGCAGAGATGCCGTAATCGACTGCCAGCTTGTGCCAATGTCGAATTGCGCTGGAAGCCGCCCCGGAGCAAATCGAAAGCATCTCTCGTGATGGGACCATGAAGGTAGGGGAAGGCCTGTTAAGAAGGAGTAGAATAATGCAGTACTCGATTTTCAGCTCGGAGTGTTCCCGGGAAGATTTTAATCCTGAATCATCCAGCTGCTTCTTCCATTCTTCAAGGTCACGATGAATCTCTTTGGACATGTTGCATATGTCTTGGAAGGAGGCAGTGGGGCATCGCCCATCCGGCCCGCGGGCGATATATATAGACTCGAGTACACGGCCAGCAATCCTGCGTAGTTGAACGATGAGATTGAATGGGATGATCTTCGAGGAGTGGAACACAGGTGCGGCTCTTGCTTCAGATTCAGTGAGTTGGTCTATACTGGACGGCGAGGCCATGAGAGCTTGGACGGCATGATCACGAACGGATAACACTCGACCTGTAAAAACGGCAACCTGTCTGAGATATATGAGCTCCTGCTTCATGGCATGGTTCAAACAATATTTACCTCTCAAGCGCATAGACAGACCACCATGTTCGGTTACGAATCTCTAATTCATCCTGCGGGAAGCACCAAGTCTTGTTGTGTCGATGTAGTCCAGTCTCTAATGCCATAGACATGGCATAGCGGCTCATTTGCCAGAGATCACTGATGTGACTACTCGAGTTTGAGTGCAACATCCACACGCCCAACAACAGCACTGCCTGAATATTGAATATTTGGCGATCATGGTCGCCAAACTGTGCAAAGAATCGGAGGCCAGTTTTGAAGTAGGCCATTGGAGAGTTCAAATCTCTCATTTGCTTGTAATCCTCATTCTCTAAACTCTCCCGAGAACCCAGAGCGAAGACAAGAAACACAGTGAATTTTTGAAACTCGTTGCATCGAGAGGGTTCTTTGTAAATCTGTTGTATTGCCTGTCTTAGGCTGTAAAGCGAGAGAAAGGGCCACCATACATGTATACGGGCAATGTAGGCGTTCCAGAGTAACTTGGCAATAGCGAAAGGCGGCAGGCCAGCCGTAGCCGTCATCGAGGCAGGATCGAGGCTCCCTTCTTGTGTAAACAGAGTCGTATATGGCAAGAAATGTAGCTGCTTGAAAAAGATGCGAACAAATGTTGACCCGGTGGCACTCCCGGCTTCAATGATTAAGAGAACAAAGTCAGCATGAATTAACATGCACACACGAACACAAGGATATGTATTAGAGGGTTTCAGAGGTATCCTACCATAGGTGGTTTGTGACTGCTGGTTAGATCCAGCCACAGCGAGAATGCCAACCTCTTCAGCTTCCTTTAAGACATCCTCTGCTGCCGCCTCATTCTGGGTATACTGCGGATCCTGAGGAGCTGGGCCATCAACAGATGGGCCTCTTGCAACGGTCCCTTGTATCCTGGCTGTCGAGGCGGCCTCTGCAAGCTTTGCATGCAGTACCGCAACTTGGTTTTGAAGTTTCTCTATTTCAGCATACGGGTAGGAAACATAATCGACGATGTTACAGTCTTCATTTTGCTTAGTGCAAGTTGAACACTGCGGCACAAGCATATCACACTAGGCAATGACATCAAACATTTTAGCAACCTTGTCAGAGTGTGGCTGGAAGCCAGGGCAAGCACAGTGTCAGAGCACCGAAATGGGATAGGGCATCTCGATTCGGATGGCTTACCTTGACTTTGCGCGCACGACACCGACTGCATGCTTTAGAAACAGACGGCGTCGGTGCTGCTTCATACTGATGATCCATGTTGGCATGGTAGTGATTGTGGGGGAGAAGGGGAGGTCCGAGAGGTATAATTATGTTCCCACTCGGGGCTCAATATTCCAGTGACGCAAAGGGATTAGCGACCCGCACAAAGCGTTAGTCGATAAGATATCCTCGGCCCCCATCGGGGTCTCTTCCGAGATCCAAGAGGGAGGCTCGGACAACCCCGATATCTAGTCTCTGGCGTTCCAGACCATTGGAGGCCATTTGGTAAGATATCTGACTTCTCATCTCATGATGCATCCTGTGAGTAACAGGAAAAAGTTATTGAACCATGGTTGAAGTCAAGAAGTATTATCTTTCCCCAACCACGCTCATCCCCAATTCTCCCTACCCACTCCTTCATTATCCGGGATTTCTTGCTCCAGACACAAAGTCTCTCGCAACACAATTTTACGATCTTCTCACGAGTCATGGCTGGCAGGCCCAGTGGATCTTCCGGTATGGCCCGACCCAGAAATCACATTATCACTCTTTCGCGCATGAGTGCATGATAGTTCTCACTGGCCACGCAACAATTCGTTTCGGCGTTGCAGACACGACTGAAGACATGGAAGAGAACACTCTTGGCACGGGATTCGAAGATGGCGGCGTTGAGCTTCACGTTCAGGCAGGAGACGTCATGATCATTCCGGCCGGTGTTGCTCACAAGACATATGCTACCAAACCCGAGGCTGAATTCAAGCTTATGTCACCGGGAGATGCACATAGCCTGCCTCCCGATATCAGGTATAGGCTAGATGATATTGAACTAAGTGGTTTTACCATGATGGGCTCGTATCCTAAGGACGGAGGTGCGTGGAATTTCGCCGTTGGTGGTGAAGGCGCCGCCGCATATGCCGGTGTATGGTCGATTCCACCTCCTGAACTGGACCCAATCCTGGGAGCATCGAAGGAGGGAATTTGCGGGATCTGGGAGAAGAAGAATCCAGATCGCGTTTCCGAATTCGGTATTCTTTCATCAAAGCTATAATGGTCCACACACTTGTATCTCCCCAACTCAGAAGAATATCGACTTGTGAGCTCTCAATATTCTAATATGGGATCCTCATCCTCCGATAGCAAACTTATCTGGCCGGATGCGTGTTTATGACCTATACATAATAGGCTCTAGCTTGGCTGTACATAACATGTTTACCAAGAGACGGAGGATTACACACAATACGTGATGGACTGTTCAATATCTATGTCTCCATTCTATACTAAGGGCAATCGTCTGCGGACATAACAAAATTCCTCGTAGAATATGATAGAAGTGGACGGTAATTTACCGGAGTTCCTCCAGCGTTGCAGTAATAGGTACCGCCTCCACTAGGCTTCTCATCGCGGAAAGGGAGAATACTATTGTCGAGGAGAGCGATGGAAGGACGTCACTCATTTAGACCATGGCAGAGGGACACGAGGTAGTAGCTCGGCTTCTGAGGGGCGGATGGGTTTGAAGGTCGAAGTTAGTGGTCTCGTTGAGGTAAGCATGGTCGCAAATCGCGGATCAAGGATCATGGCGTCTCATCTGGGGTATCCTTTACAAGAAAATAGTCAGATTAGCATCGTGTTGAAGTTGTTGAATAGGCAAATTTAAGAAACCAACCATTGATAGCATTGCTGGCACCTCTCCGGCCGAACCGAGGCATCCATGATTTCTCGTGTCCCGATTCGAGGCTCTAGGCAGCGATATGGTTCCGAAGCTTGTAATATAGTATGGCCTCATTCTTGAGAGGTCCGCCCCACGATACCGATGGAAGAATGGGCTTTTCAACTTGGATGTCCTCTAGCGGAGCGGAGCAGACTTCTCGAATGGTGGTAGTCTCGGCCCGAGTATTGGGGATGAGGCTGTCAAGGTAGGTACATCAAATGCATCATCGTAGAAGGCAAGGGCAAGGATCGTAGAGTCAGGCCTTTTTACGCACATTATCACATACCCCCTATCATGCGCGGTGTCACATCATAGCCCCCAGGCAGCCCCAAAAGCTACCGCGCGGCAATTGCATCATAGGTCCATTCCGGAGAATAAGTCGTGCCTTTAATGTGCCTTGAGGGGGTCATCGTGAGCTGATTCCAACTCTACCCCTTGTCCAGTGGTCAAGATGGCCACACCGGAATATTTTAGTCATTAGCCGCGCGCAACTCCCTCTCATTGAGACGAGTTCCTGTAGCATTGGCGAATTAAAGTTAATATAAGCTCACGCCTAGCGTGCGGGGTACCAGAGAAAACGAGGAGCTTAGGGAGTTCGGGATGTCGGGATTGTGAAAACCCCGGGACATAGCTATGCATTCTTTCTACAAATTATTTTTAACTTATAGATATATGTATATGCATAAAGGGAGAGAGGAATTATTTCTAGAAACTATTTCTAGAAACTATTCCTATACAATAGCCGTGAACTTTTACTCTCCTTTGGACACTGTTCTAGACATCATCCGTGACTGAAGTGGAAATGTCGTTCGTTGTACTAATTGTAGTCTTCTTCAGCCAGCTATCGGTCTTCTTCACGGTAGCAGCAACTTCGACATTATTTCGACACGGAACTGTCATAGGCTTCAATCAGCAAACACAAACACCCAATATTCTTTGCAATACTTCTATCCTTGTTGAAGGGGATACTATTACTGCTATATTCGGAAGTCATGAGGATGGCTCTATCCATGTACCACCTAACGCAGAGGTCATCCCGGCAGAAAACCTGATAATCTCTCCCGGATTCATCGACACACATCGGCACACCTGGCAAACTACGTATAGAACAATTGCGTCCAACATCACATTATCCGAGTACTTCGTCCGGTACAGTCCGCTGTCGGAAGTACTCAATCTCTTCTCACCGGATGACTTTTATCTGTCTCAATTAGTTGGTATATGGGAGGCCTTGAATGCTGGTGTCACGTCCCTGCTTGATCATTCCCACAATATAAATTCCAGAGAGGTCGCCAACGCCGCAATCGATGCCTACACTGATAGTGGTGCTCGTGTATGGTTTGGCTACGGTTTTGATCCAACCGGTAACTTCACTATACCGAGCCGAGCAACACATATTCGAGACCTCGCAGGCGACCAGCGACTATCAGGAAGCCTTGTTGAGTTAGGAATGGCTTTTGATTCCTGGGGTGCCGTGAGCGAAACGGATCTACAAGAGGCCATAAATGTCCTCAAGTAAGCATCATGAGCTGAACCTCCACTTCATTTCTCCCCTAATGTACTGGTCTAGAAACGGCAATTTGTCTGTGTTAACAACGCACTGGCTTGATGCGCAGTGGAACATTCGACACGGGCCATCGCTATTTCAAAGATTAGGAATCATCAACGAAAGCTTTCCAATAGTGATGTCCCACGGTACCTTCATCACGCCGGCCGAGTACCAGCTTCTGAAGGATTACAATCACTACGTTTCCATAACCCCAGAATCTGAGATGCATTTCGGACACACCAACTACGAGAGTGACCTTATCATGGATCAAGCCGCTCTCGGGGTGGATACGCACGCTACATACTCGGGTGATATGGTCAATCAGGCTAGAATATGGCTTCAGAGCGTTCGCCTGCGGTCCTACAAGAAGATCTTGGATCAATGGAAAATCCCACGACTAAGCCCCATGTCAGTAAATCAAGCATTCTATCTTGCTACGCGCGCCGGTGCCCTGGCTCTCCGGCGCCCTGACCTTGGCATTCTTGAAGTTGGAGCCAAGGCCGACTTGGTCGTTTTTGATGGAAGGTCCACCAACATGGTTGGGTGGAGATATCCTGTCGCTGCCATCATCTTGCATTCGCACGTAAGTGATGTGGTTCATGTCATAGTTGGCGGTAATTTCATCAAGCGGGATGGAAAGCTCACAGCGGAAAATGTTGCGAACATTACAACAGAGTTCGCACGTTCTGCAGCCAGGATTCAGGAAGAAGCCATCAATGCACCTTATCATATGGAAGGAGGGTTTGTTTTTAATCCTGTCCTACCGCCCGCTTCTGGCGACCCTGTAGATGTGGTTATCGGTGAGGGCACGGGTTATTAGGCAGTTGAATACCATTACCGCCACAAGATAGTAGACTCTGTGGACAAAGACCAGCGCGAACTTGAGAATGTTTTGATACGGGACGACACGACTCAATCTACACCTTTGTCTAAGGGAAGTTTAACGTCCGTGGAAAATTAGTGATCTAGGAGAACATGTTTTCCAATGTATTTTATTGTATATACCACAGTCATTACCAAGATAGACTGAATAGCTAATTACTGCTGATAAATAAACGCTTCACAAGTAGAACAACCCTACCAATGATTTATGCAGAGGCCAACAATTTCTTTCTAACGCGAAATCTTCTCAGCAAGATGGACATCCAATACTCAGTGTCGTGACACCAACACTGCTCCGTCAATACGTCCTACAAAGCTTCAAGAATATAATTTCGTTCAAGCTTAGATCGCCTACCTAAAGCAAGCCAGGCCAAATCAATCATTACTTCAAACGTGTTAACCAGGGCCAATAGTTAGGCACAATTATTACGCCCCCAAGAATACTTATAGTAAATGAAGAATGTTGCTGTGAACACATTTGATACTACTGATGAGTCTAAGGACTTGTATTCTCATTGAAGTTGGAAGAGTTCTATGCCCGCTAAATTACTAACAGGGGAAATCGCATAGAAATCAAGATAACATTCACTCAAATGCCGTTTTGATGAGCAGATCTTTTGGACGAAATAAGAATTACAATTTTTGCTTCTTCCAATAATGTCTGATTCGGAATTAGAACAACTGTCTTTATTTCTACCTTTTTCCAACTGATATCGGACGTTAGGACCGGATCTATTGCTTTTAGCAGCTCCAGCTAGCCCACAGTTTTGAGGTTGAGCCACGCGGGACCTCAAATATCATCACAGTTCTAGGCTGGGACGAGGTGGCTAGTCCTAGGCAGTGGAAACCTCAGCCTCTAAGCAGAACCTGGTATAGGTATATTTGTGCATCTATGCGCAGACCCATCCCTCACTTATTGGCAACACCTCAATTGTCCAAGAGCTCTCAACCGGCGGGAAATGGGAGAACTTTTGGGATATTAAGTATATTGCTTTTAGCAACCGCTTGGCCAAGGCCCTTAAAGATGTATAGCTCCAAACACGGATCGCATAAGAGCTTAATCTATTGAGGGAAACGGCATTTATTTCCTGATGCTTGGATATATATCCAGCTAAAACATTGCTAAGGTCTATTTTGATAGATATCTTTATCAACGCAAGACAACCTGAGACTTTCTAACTGGGCACTAAAATAGCTTGCCTTCTTGCCGAAAGGCACGGAAAGAACACAAAACGCACGCATGCATCAGAACGCAGCTGCATGTTCTTCGTACCAGCTCCAGATGATCAACCCATAGAGGGGTCTATGGTTTCTCAGGTGGGCTAGGTGATGGGCTTGTGCCTTAGTCCAAATCTGGTCATATACATGAAGAACGGGTAAGCAGGATAAACTCTGCACAGAGTAGAGCCAATGGTGATCACAAATTCCCTCCCACGACTTCAAAAGTTCAATAGAAAACTGTGCCAAGACATCCGACGGTGGGTTGCGATGAAAGTGTGGGTCTTGCGATGAAGTTGTGGAGTATAATCAATGTCTATCAACGAATGAGGCACGACTTCCATCCGGAAATCCAATAACATATCGTTTCAGTGATGCAGCGCGAAAAGCTGCGCTGCGTTGGTCAAATCTCATTTTAATCTTGAGGCTGTCGCCTAACGAGACAAGCTATATATACTGTCATGCTTGAGCTCGCACAATTCTTCTCGGTTTTGTCTCTCACCAACTTATCACTCATAACTCTTTCCTCTTCAGAAGTTGCCTTGACCTACCTACGCTAAAGCAATATGTCTGACGAGACCAACCACACCCCCGCTCGATGCCACCCAGAAGAACCTCCCCCCCCTGCTATCAGTCGTTGGTTTGCACAGTTGCTCGGCGATGAGCCGTTCTACATACCTGACCCATCCCATATGAATGAACCGCTTGAACGAGGGCGTGCCCGCGTACTCCCAAAGATCAAGGCCATCGAGGACCTATTCCGCTCTTCTTCCACATCTACATTATCACCCGTCATAGTATCCACAGCGTATAATGACCTCTTTCCTTGCATATTTAAGTTTGCTGGTTGCCGTTCATCCTACGACAACAAGTCTAGCTGGAAGCAACATGTTTTGCATCAGCATATACAAAACCATCAGCTGTGTCATGGCTCGCGCTGCACTGGTCATCCTCATGTGGAGCAACCACCTACCGAACCAGCTCAACTCCAGTCCCTCGGAAGCGAGAATGGCAAGCTGCTGGATTTTATCAGGATGGGCTCTGGCCATTCGTCCCACCTAAAGAGTCATCAGCCCAACGAGCATTTTACTTGCCCCGGCTGTCACTTGCCACGAAGTCTAGGCTGCCCAGCGCCTGGATGTGGCGCCAGGTTCCATGGCATAAATGCTTGGTCGTCAAGACTGGACCACATTGCCATTCATCTTGGGGAGATGCGCCTCTTGTTTGAGGGGGCTGAAGACACGGAGTTTGTCCAATGGGCCTCCCACTCTTCTGTTAAGCTTATTGTCCCAGCATCTAGCGGTAATGGCTGGCTTCTACGTACTGCTCGGAAATTTTTTGAGATCCCATCAGATAGTGGCTATGGGAGCTCAATACAGACAGGCCCTGCTAGGACGGATGACATTGCATCAAGACTTGAGCCATCAGAGACTTCCGGCTATGAGTCGAGCGAGTCTGGCGCATCAACCGCAATCGCGACAAGAGAAGGCCCAGGAGACGATTCAGATGATATAACAGACATGGCCACCGCGCTATACCACTTGCGATTTGGATCAATGTCTTTGCCATCCCAAGAGTCCACTGCATTAACCGACTCTTTTGACATTCAACACGAACGATCCGTGAGTGAATCAGCAGCTAGCTATAAAAGTGTTGGTTCCGACCAATCAGTTAGCACGAAGAACTCGTTTCAGTCCCACATGAGAACACTATTCGGTGACATTGATGACTTTGTTTCAAAGTATCCAGGGCGGTTGTTTTCGCAGATTAATGAATTTGCCAACGCTGCTGATGAAGCACAGAACCTATTGTACACTGGACCAGGAGGAGAAAACTATTATGGCTCTGTGTCTGGGTCTGGAAGTTCTCCCAACTCTGATCAAGCAAATTCCAATAGCACAGGCCTAATTTCACACATTCCAGGAAGCGGTAATAGAGGCAATGATAACGATGACGATGGGTCTCCGAATCAAAATTTAAATTGGAATATGCATCAGCCACATCACAGTGGCCCGAGGGAGTTTGCGTGCCCATTCTACAAGCGCGACCACGAGAACCGGGAGTTGAGAGACTGCTCAAAGAAGAGATTTTTGCAGTTTTCCCGCCTTCTGTAAGCCCATTAATTTCAACAAAACTTGTTCTTTTGCAACCACTAACATCTCTGCTACAAATAGAGAGCACATCAAGAGGGCGCATACGCTAAACAAACTCCAATGCGACCGTTGTTTGAGTCAGTTCACCAGCGAACATCAATACGATTTGCATGTAGGCAGCACATCTATATGTGAGATGTTGAACCATGGGAAGATAGGCCAGGCGACATATGGCGTGTTAAGCTCCAGATCGTTGTATAGAGGTATGGATCCAGAGAAGAGGTGGATTCAAACTTATTGTCTGCTCTTTCCTAGCGAGGGCACCGTGCCTAGCCCTTGTGAGTCTTGAAAATTCTGCTATTTTATTGGCACATTCACTTACTCATCAGTCCAGACTACGAAGACCGATGTCACTACCCACTCTCTTGGGATGATGCCCATCTTCTTGATTATATCAGGATGAGGTTTCCAAGCGAAAATGAATCGACAGTTCCGCAGTTGGATACATTTCTCCAGTACCCCCCAGCTGAGAATTCATTAATGGACGAAAATATTCGCAAGATAGGAGAAGTATCAGAAGATTTTAATGGGCCGAGACCAACGCAACCTGCCGACCACATTACCGAGCCCGAAATACTCAATCAAGATAACCCCCAGTTATCCCATCCATATAACGACACTTTATCGCGGGAGGGCACCTTATCCACTGAAGGTTTTGACTGTGGACAATGGGAGCCTGTCTTAGGGAGATACCCAAACAAGACGAAGGATGGACTAGGGAATATCTGTGTTTTAGGGTCACCGCCACCCGAAAATACCTTTTCACATGTTGCAATATCCGAGACATGCGACACTCATCTGTCTTCACCATCAATCAGAAGTTCCGGCCACGAGTCTTCTGAGCAGCATCAGAATCTTAATCATGAGTTTACCTTACATCAGCTGGCAACGGCGGTACAAAACGAATGAAATTTGTGGAATGCTATCCTTCTTTCCCTGCTTGTTTTCCTTTTGCCTTTGTTGGCTTCTTAGGAGGGCTTATTTGTATGCGTGTGTGTGGTGTTTTTTTTTTCTTGCGAAATTAATCCAATAGGAAAGCGTAAAAGTTAAAAGAGAATAAAAGACAGTCATTACAAGGGGAGAAGCTTCTTTCTAGTTTTGAGTTATACATGCACAATACCTTTCCTTCTCATTTCTGGTCCCGCTCTTTGAGTTGCCAGATTAGCGATATGTCTTGACTGTGTTTGGTACACATCGCCATGTGACGATTTCTTGTAGGTACCATCCTACAATTGGACTTGTCATGGCTCAAGGAATTACCCCGTCTTTGGGTTAGCATACGACTGGTTCTATTACAAGAGCATACCCCTAACCATGACAAGGACCCTTTGTCGTGTTGCTCTCTGCATTATGGTTCGAGAATATACTCGAGAACGCGAACCATCATACTACCCATGCTTGACCTCGATCATAATACCCAACATCTTTCAACCGTTGCACCTGTTAGGGCGTTAATTTTAGGCGAGAGTTAGGTAATCAACGTTCAATTTTAAGTCTTTCCAGATTAGACCTACCCTACAGAGTAGGAACTCCCGAGATTTTCTCTCCAACCGGCCCAGCTGCAGCAATTAGATCAGTTCTCACCTTGATTAACATATTATGCTAAGACGTTATGGTTGGTCTAAATTAATAGGACCTGAAGGGTTGCGGCTCGAATATCCCCGAGGAAGAAGTGTCGTTGTGTTTTTCAACAAGCTTCACAATCTTCAACATTAGAAAAGTAAGAATACAGGAAACCAAATTCTGGCGGATAATGTCATCATCATCCGTCTCAAAATCGGATATTATCCCCTCAGACATCTCAAACAGCTATCAGGCACACAGCCAGGGAGATGTTATTTGGGAATGAGAAAGTGCTGTGCTCTGGTCAACAAGTGAATTGTGAATGTCTCATATCAACCAATCAACAGCGTAATTGGTTTAGTGGTAAAATTCTCCGTTGCCATCCGAGCAGCGTCGGGGAGCCCTGGGTTCGATTCCCAGATTACGCATTTTTGCTCTTCTGGAGCATTGCTTTTGATCTTATGTTTCATTTTCTACTTGTTTGGCTATTCCCTTCTGATTTGGGGCCGAGAGTGGGTTAGTTTTGGACAAATCAGGGCTGTGAGCGTTGTTCTTTGTGCTTTTGACTATTGGCAGAATAGGTTGCTTGGCATTCATTTTTGTAATAACTAATTGAACAGTAGTCAAAAGGCTTGGAAAATGATGTGCGTTGTAACGGGTGTTGCGATCTGTCAACTTAACAGGACCCGTAATGAGTACTCCAATCACCACCCTCGCGGAAGTACACATCGTATCTGATTCGCGAGCCACTACGACGGAACGGATCGCGTGGATACGAACCTTCATACCATTTGAAGATAAGGCCACGGCCCTTAGCCTGCTCCTCCATGTATGTGCAGACTTGTTGGTGGTATTTATCGGAGCCCTCCGCCATTGTATGCGCCTCCCTCTTCCGCTTCCTCGGCATGCTGCTTTTCCCCTTGCTGCTCTCGTCTATATCCTCATCGGGGTCCTTAATCAACTTCAGTTGCTTAAGAAAATCTTGACAGGCAGCATGGGCCGCAGCGACGGGATTATTGCCAGTAAGGTCAAGTTGGGCTGCGCCAGAACTCTCTGTGGCCTCCCTCTTGGGGAACGTGTCTTCAACCCATTCCAGCTGGTCGCGCAAGTCCTCTACTTCGGCCTGGGCGCTGGCGACATACTTATGAAGCTCCTGGCGAACCTTGCCGAAATCCGGAACACCGCCTTCTCTACCCTTTTGCTCTGCGCTGTCGGCTCCAAATGGCCGAGGAAGTCGTCGACGGCAGTCTTGGCTGCTGACACCGTGTCTATACGCACATTTTGCAGGTGTAACAAATGGAGGTTGCGGCTGGCGCCTTCGACCATGAGAACAACGTCTGTGTCATGCATGTGGAAATCGTGTTCCTGAGGACCAGGACCACCGTAGACCAGCTCCTGGGTCAGGCTCGCAAAGGGACCTGTGTCGTCGTGGCGGGGGCGTTCGGCTGCCATGGTATTAGCTGAGCGACAGGAAGACAGATGCCGGTCCTGGCAAGTCGCAGTGCTTCGAATTCTAGAGGATAGGAAGACTCTAATCGCACTACTGGAATATTGCCGTAGCTAAATTTGGATTCAATATCTCGAGGAGTTGCTACAAGGAAGTTCACGAGTTATCAGGCGTACGGCTGGCACAAACGAGACCCACAGATGCTGCCTATTGCTCAGCCTCCGACTCTGACCGCAGCAAACCCATGTTCTGGTGAGATAATGCCACGTTCAGCGCCATGGATCTACGCTAGCATCATATTTAGAGGTAGGTTATTGGCTATTATTGAGTTTCAATCATGGGCGGTCAAATAAATCAGGAGAATCATCTTGTTTTTCCGGCAAGGGTGGTTAGGCTGACCTCATCTTGATTGGTAGAATGTTGGCTTACTCGTAAAGCCGGGCTTGCATTGGCCAATCTGCCCAATAAAGATTGCTTACTGCAAGGCATGGCCGAGGTTTGAGCTTACGACAACGATGCTCATCCACCTTGCCAACCCTATCCGGTCTGCTGAGTTACTACTTAGCTTTTTAAAATGCCTTTTGCGATGAACTTTGGATGATAAAGAAGATATCGAAAGACTTGAGTCAACAGAGCCAGTTTCGGTCTATTTATTCGAGGCCTGGTCTGGTAAAGATAAAATAGATCCCTTCCTGTCTAATCAGATACTACTTATAGAGTTCTGTAAGAAGTGTAAGATTATGTTGTCGGACCATCATCATCATTGGATAAAGGCCTTTCTTTTACTATGGATAAGCCCAGGAAAGATCAAAATGTACATCCTGCAGGCCATCCCACGGTACGCGTACTTGCCAATGGGCTAGATTCGGCAGTCAATGAGCCGGGAAGCTATAGCATCATGCAGCACCACTTCGGCCTTGCCTGGCCATACGTTGACGCTACGGACGAAATAGGCGAAAGTCAGTCCAGGATTGCATTAGCAACCCCTGAAGGGGATAGGTTTGGTTACCACGTGAGGTCGTAGCCAACACTTGAGATTGTCCGTTGACTGATGACTTTAGGAAATAGTCCATGGGTTGCGTAGATTGACCCAGCTTTGTGTAGGCTTTGTACGGGTACCCTCACCCGAAGCTTCTCTTCGCAAATGAGGGCATACGTCACATAAAGAGGGGAACATCTAGGGTGGGAATGATGAAGCCAAAGCTGAGACATGAGACCTTGTGAAAATAGAGAGGGTACTACATACGTATGCAAGTGGAAGGTCACATGCCAGTTGACTGCCACTTGGCATACTTGAAATTTACTAGTCTACCTGAGATAAGATGACCTCTGACGACTCGTATCATCTATGTACTCTCTAGGAAGCATGAGTTGTGGAGATTAACACATGGTGACTTCACGTTCCGGGAGTTGGCTTGCCGAGAGGTTTAATTGACTCAAGTAAATGTTGCAACAATGCTACATAGAGTTGCAATGCGCACAGACATGCATAAATAGATTGGCCGTGACAGCCGGTTTCGCCCAAATAAAGCAATTCGACATGAATATCCCGCGGGTCCGCGGAATCACCGCGGGGAGTTGAAGCTGGGGAACTCGATAGGTTGCAGAAATTAGTGATTGCAAAACCTCTATGCGTGATTTGCTGTTAAGTGAGAGAGGCCCAGTATTAAAAAGAATAAATGAGGGCCCGACCAACACATCTGGAGCTGGAGGGAGATTTTACCAGATAGCTCGTTTTACTTTACTGGATATTCACATTTGCACTAGAAAAGACCGCCGTCTAGATGGCTCTTCTTCATCAGCCCGACCAGCTTATGGCTGCAGGCTCCATAGCCGTAGTTATATCTATAGTCATACTATCAGTGAGTCGAGACGTCGTAGTCTAGGAGTACGGAAAGTAGTGTGGCGATTTCGATGAGCCCTCTAACGCATCGTCTTTAGATTGGACTCTACAGCCTGGGTTCAGCCATATACCTGGTTACCTTCCATCCGTTGGCCAAGGTCCCAGGCCCCAAGCTATATGCGATATCCCAGCTTCCCTATCTTTATCACCTTGTTCGAGGAGACTGGACCGCTGTTCTCAAAGGTTTCCACGACTACTATGGCCCAGTTGTTAGGTTTGCACCCAAAGATGTCTCGTTTACTACCGACGATGCATTGAAGAAGATTTATGGGCACAAAACAGCCGAGAGCGACACCTTTGAAAAGGATCTACGCATGTATCGCCAGAATCGCCCTGTTCGCAGTATCATCACCTCTGATAACGAGGGCCACCGACGCATGCGCCGACTGATTGCCCATGCGTTCTCGGAGAAGGCACTCCGCAACCAACAGCAGGTCCTGGACCACTATATTGCATCTTTTATACGGGGGCTTACCGAAAGGTCACGCCAAGGTGTTGATGTTGACATAGTAGCCTGGTACAACTTTGCCACCTTTGATCTCATCGGTGACCTTGCGTTTGGCAAATCTTTCGGGTGCCTTGAGAACGGGGACTATCACCCATGGGTTCGGAAGATCTTTGACGGCGTGAAATTTGTAGCCTACGGCCAGGCCATGACACGACTCGGCCTAAAGCGGTGGGCTACAGTACTTGTCCCGCCTTCCTCGCGGAAGAGCGCTGAACAGCACATGGAATTCTCTTCTCGTACCGCGCTTGCTCGAATCGACAGCGGTAACACGGTACGAGAAGACTTTATGTCATATATTCTTCGCCACAACGATGATGAGAAAGGCATGTCTAAACTTGAGATTACGGAGAACTCGGCCACACTTATTTTAGCGGGGAGTGAGACCACCGCGACACTGCTCAGCGGAGCAACATTCCTCCTTCTAAAGAACCGGGATAAGTATGAGAAGCTCACAAAGGAAATACGTTCCGCGTTCAAGTCAGCAGAGGATATTACACTCAACAAAGTGAACCAACTAGAGTATTTGCTGGCTGTACTGAACGAGAGTTTGCGCATGTGTGAGTCTCTCTTTTATCTCAAATCGAAAGAACCAGCTGAATGTTCTTGACAGATCCTCCTGTGCCAATTGGCTTGCCAAGGCTAGCTCCGGCCGCAGGCGAGTTCATGGAAGGGTATTGGATCCCGGCCAACGTAGGTTTTGCTGGCGAAATTTCATCTCACTCCCCGTTTACTAACGCTGCCGGCACATAGACTTCAGTTTCCGTGCCACATTGGTCAGCATACCGATCAGCGGGAAATTTCCGTGAGCCAGATTCTTTTGTCCCAGAGCGATGGCTCAATGACCCGCTCTATGCTTCCGACGTTAAATCGATTCTTCAACCATTCTCTTACGGCCCCCGGAATTGTATTGGCAAAAAGTGAGTATTGGCCGGCCACTAACAGGCATTGACTTGGTAGTAAATGGAGAACAGTGGGCAACTGACATTCATTGATAGCTTGGCATATGCGGAAATGCGACTCATTCTCACACACTTGCTCTGGAAGTTTGATCTTGAATTAAACCCTGAGTTTAACGATTGGAGTAACCAAAAAGTTTACATCCTCTGGGAAAAGAGTGGGTTGAAAGTGAAGCTCACGGAGGTAATTCGAGTAGAGAAAGAGTAGAGAGCTATCGACGTTAGCCGTAACTGCTCACCCCTGGAATAAGGTAGCAACATAGCTTGAATTCATCCTGAGATACAGACATGCAGTACTACCACCTATATACTTCGCTAGTAGTCAGCAGGTAAAGTTACCGAGGCGCACTAACTCTACATTGTGGGACTTTGAGGACTAGAAGTAGATACCGTCGCTTGGCTAGAGATTTCGCTCACTACTATCCAAATTTTCGCCCTAGTAGGAGTTTGGTTATAAAGTAAAAAATATCAAGAGAAAATACCAAACTAATTCCCGGGTATTTAGTACTGTATCCGCACCAGACTGGCAATGCAATTGGAGTAAGGGGGCCGCTCCGAGTGGCTCAAGCAGTGAGCAGCCTTCGCTGATCACATAGCTTCATCAAATCATCAATATGTTGTAAGTCGTATTTTCCATGTATGCTGCCCATTATTGCGAGCTAAGAAGAGAAATAGGAAAGGTCTAGCAAGCGAATTAAGGCTTCCCATATGCCTTCCGCATCACTTATACTAACACTTCATAGATCATCAATTTGAACAGAACACCGGGAGAAGTATTATACTTCACTTCGTGCAGGTGTAGCTAGTTATGCTTTGTAAAACCTTGCTTGACATTAGCTGAATCAGCAGGGGGATCAGATTGACGAATACTTTTACTCTACATTTATACGGTTGGCTCATTACCCCATTGGAAAGTATGCCATAAAAATCGTACGATCAATTTACGGGCGTTCCGTGTCAGGCCAAGCCTCACTTTCACGCGCATTGGGTATCTCAGATTATTTAGACTCTAGCCACGCTACACCTCATTACCAAGAGGGGAGAGGTGGGTTCAACTAGTGCAGTGCAGCTGAAATGCGGAATTAAATCTTAAATCTAGTCAATCTTGGCTATGGAGCCCAGTTAGATTGTCCCGTAACAACGAGTTAAGCTGCGTAAAGAGTGGGTGCTGATTCGATACGTGAAAAACGATGGCTTTTAAACTTGTGAATATCCGATCACTGATTCAAGGTGATTGCTCTGGAAAATGGAGACATAGGAGCACCACGATTTTGAATTCCACAATCAAGTCTCTACTATACTATGCTCGGACCCCTCGCACTCCGAGGTGATGTACGGCAAAGTGCAAAGGGGGCAAAGGTAGTGTTTGCGCAGGTACCACGGAACAATGCAGCTCGAATGGAAGACATGGCCGCAACATAGCCGGCGAACGCATTGCTCGGTTTTCAAAGGATCTAGACAAATGGCACTTGTGGAAATGTTAGCAACCCTAATCTCACACAATAAACACAGGCTCCTGTACCTACCATGCATAGTATGACTCTGGCCAGACAGGCTGATCACTTGGTTTACGTTGCTTCGCCTCTTTTTTGACCTGGGCGAATTCCTTTGCTGGAGCTTCTCGGTCTAGGATTTCGAGAAACGCTTTCTGCGATGCTGATGAGTCGGTCGACGACGCGCTCGCCGTCGACTCAATATCATCGAAGTCGACGGTATCGATTGGAAATCGGACAATAGCGCTATAGATCATGGATGTCAGTCGTTTGATTAAAAAGGAGCTCCAACCCCTGGGGTGAAATCAGCTTACCAGAGAAAGCAAATAAGTAGGAGAAACACAATAACGCCACTGATGATAAAGACTGGCAAGAGTTGTTTTGAAATGCCTTGAAAAAGGTCTTTAGAATCTGAAGATGAGTTTGCGGCTGAAAGGCTGTTGGCGTTCAGGTCCGTAGTCCGCCGGGATAGCATGGTAGTCAAACGGTACTCAGACGAAGAAAGATGAGTAGGAGACCAGAAATTTCGAACCCAAATATATTCTTTGATAGTAGTTCTCAAGTTTTGATACTATCTTGCTGGTTCTTAAAGAAAGGGATTCCATGGCAGCCTTCGGAGACAGAAAGAGATATGGCTTTCAACGAATTAGTTGATCAGAGGGGCTAGATCTGGACTGTCCCTTTGAATCAGGATCAGATCATTTTTCAAGCTGCTCTCCCCAGTGGCGTTGTGGCGTATCGCGTTTGACATCAGCTGCTCTGAACATTTGGACGAGGTGTGGCACGTCGCGGGCGAATGGAGCCGAGGGGTGGATACAGTGATAAACTCTATTGACACCTCCCAACGGTTTTAGATGCCGTTGTGAACGCAATCTAGCGCCCTGGCTAGTGTCATTCGTGAGGGAGTTGCGTACGGTGTTCGGCGAGGGGCGGAAACGGCGTCGCCAGATGCCGGGAGCAAGAAATAACCGACACTACGCACTCAAAGATCACGAATTCTACGCCGTATCGAGAGAAGTGACGAAGATGTTACGACAGTATGGCGTATCCATTCAGTCGCCTTCTGCCAAGATCCCTATAATTACTGATTAGTAGGCTAAGTATAGTAGATTCATAGACGAATTGAAATCACTCGAAAGTATTCAAATATCAAATTTGATCGGTAGTGCAATTAGCAAGGTAATGCTTTGGATCAGAGAGAGGCCGGGGGTTGAACGAGAAGTTCTGGTTGATACAGACTCAACTGCCTTACGCCGCATGTTCTCTAAGATGTGTTCGGAGGTCCTGCTAAGGTCCCCTTTCCACATTCAAAACACGACAGGAGTAAATTGACCCAAGGTCCACCATACGTATTGTACTTCTCCTGAATGAGAGTCAAGTTATAGGTTTAATAGTTGGATTTTGAATATGAGGATCAATAGATAAACTAGGTGCTATAGCTAAAAACTTATCAAATACGCCCTGCGAAATTATGTCAAAAAGCTTTTAATGAAAGAATAAAGGGAAAAGAGAAACTAGACACATTTTAGCACTCATATCGACGCAAGTATACCTAATAAGTAACTTTGTTCGGGCGAACAACCATTGACTGTGGCGACGAATCAAGGGTGCATTCAATCAGCGTTGGAGCGTCCACATGAACTATTAACTCGTCCAATGCTTCAATGAAAGGATACACTGTGGATACCTCGAGGCTGGGAGCACGGCCAAGATCAGACTATGGCCAACAAGGTTCAGTTCTAGCCCTCAATCCTTGGTAAGCAACCTCTCAGCCCGTCGGATCCGGCCGACCTCCAACATGTCATTGCAGAGCAAGGCCTACTATTTCAAAAAGTAAATCGAAAGAAAATCGAAAAGCAGAGACGCTAAAATTACATTCAATCCGATGGCTGTAATTTTTGGCTATTCTGAAAAGCTAAGAGGGTTCGAAATCCGGTCGTTCTTGGCTTGAGGTAGCATCGAAGAGGTGGCTGTGGGACTCCTTTGAAAGCTTTTCTGTCACACACATCATCCTTGGCTGGAAATGCGATCCCAGATCAGTACCGAAAACACATTGGCCCGTTCTTGCATTAACGTCCTTCGTATTTATGTTTGTCTGATGTGTGTAATGTAGACATGGAGATACCCAGGTAACAAAATAATCACCACAAAACTGGTGTTTTCCGTCTTTTCATCTTTGCTTTGAGTCGGGATTCACATCGCCGAGTGATAGATTCAGGGTGAGCCATTTCTCGCCCCAATTAGAAGAAGAAAAGATCAGAATGAAGAAAACCGAGCATTCGGGTATTATGCAAATGTATCCAAGTTATAGCCATACCAGTAGATATGACAAAGAAAAATGCTAGACTCGACATCTTAACACAATGAATAAAGGACGTTCAACACTTGGTCGCTTTTTCCTAGTATCGCCACACTGACATCCCGCCGAAAGCGTCTGTAGTCATTCTCAAGTTCCACCCTAACATCCTCATAAACAAGGTTCTGTCAGAATCGTCTATAGATCCATCACCGCAGCGACAACTGTGAGCATATGCGGTGTCATCGAGATACTGCTATAGGAGACGAAGATGGGAACTCACATCACAAGCTAGGAGGATTGGCTTGTCTCTCACTGACAAGGCAACGAAATTCGGCTCAGTAGCTAAACATCGTTGAGAGCTCCTCTGTCGACTCGAGGCTCGCTATTGCAAGGATGTATTGCTAAGTCCACGTGGCATAATCCTAGGGCACATTATTGAGCTATGCCAATTTGTCCTAATATGGATAAATATGCCGAGTCCGCAGGTTCACCCACATCCTGGAGTCCCTCGATTGCCGGAGGTTCCTGGCCAGTAGTAGAACAGAATTCTCAAATTCAGCCGGGCCACTGTCGCCCAGTGCTACGCTGGGACCCGTACCCGTAAGCCATAAGTTTGAGTACTGGGATGAAGTTGGACGCGGCATGACTCAGAACATAAACTCTTGGTGGTCAGCAGGTTAATCCACCTATCGTGATTCGCTTGGCTTACATACCGCTACTTCCGATCATCCGATGTCTCCCCATCGTTCCTATACGATTCTATGCAGGTGCGGTTCGAAAATGCATAAATAGTTGACTAGATAAATCTACTAGATAGAATAATTGGTGCATGAGCAAGTAGAGCTTGGTCAAAGAATTGAATAACGACATCAGCATGGAGTTCAACCCCACCAAAGCCATCGTTCACAATGAAGAATGTGCCTTGCATTACTGGTACCAGGGCAAAGGACCTCTCATCACCTTTGTTCCTGGAGGAAACGGTCACGGGCGACAATTTAACCCTATCATTGCGGCCCTTTCTGACAAGTACACTTGCGTCACGTTTGACCGGCGTCAGATGTCGGCAAGCCAAGTAAAGGTCAATAAGAGGCTCAACCCACCGCAACAAGCACGAGATATCCGCGCCGTGATTCAGGCCCTCGGCTTTGAGAAGTCCATCATCTTCGGCAGCAGCAGCGGAGGCATCTTCTCGCTCCAATTTGCCCACGACTTCCCCCAGATGGTCGATCACTTGATATCTCACGAAGCACCCACATTGATGCTTCTTCCAGATGCCTCGAGCCTGGTTGAGTCGTTTCTTCATCTCATGGAAGTATATGAGACTCGCGGACTCGAGGAAGCGGCTAGCAAATTTGGCGCCATGCTGATAGGATACGATGACGAAGGTATCCCCCAAGTAGCGAAGCCTGAACCAGAGAACCGCCAGAATTTCTGGGACAACGAGTTCCTCGTTCTGTTGAGTTACGTGCCCAACCTGTGGCGGTTAGTGGAGAATAAGACCAGCGTTGGTGTGATGAGAGGGGTGCGATGCAAAGATGCCTTCTTCGCCAGGACGACCGTAGAGCAGGCGAAGATCTTAGACTGTCCGCTCCTCCGCGTACCAGGGCACCACCAGGGTTTTGAGGCTGAGACGAAGGAATTCCTTCCATATTTCATTGAGATGCTAGATACTCTAGAGAAGAAGAGACAGGCAGCTTAGAAACTACCATAGCCTCTTTCTGTCTAGTCTCTAGACAGAAATTACGTTGCTAGCAATATAATGTTCTTCACAGTTGCTGTCACCTTAAAGGTATTTAAGTTAACGGCGGCTTATATGAAATTGCCGAATTCTGATTCTATATTAGAACTAGAAATTGAGTATTTATGTATCCATATTTTTTTCCGCTCTCCAGTGCCATTTACTCGGGGATGACATGGTCTTTGGCAGCAACACCTGCGGCCCAATGATACTTGGCTGCAGTATGATCAGGTGGGGGATAAGCTCGCCCTGCTTCCTCGTAAAAGTTTTCACGGTAGGTTCCGCCGGGAACAGCGTAGTCGTCCCAGAACAGACCTCGTTGCCGAAGTTCTGGCACAAGCAACTCCGCGATATCCTTGAATGACTGGGGAAACAGCACATATCCCTGTATAGCTGTATTAGAGACATTGATAGTATGTATTGGTATACGAGAGTCACTTACAAAGTTGAAACCATCAACATCGGCTTCACGCACCCAAGTCTCCAAGCTGTCGGCAACCTGGGATGGCGTTCCAACGAATAGGGGGCCGTTTCCTCCCAAGCTAACGTGCTCGGCAACGGTGTGCTTGGTCCATTTGGAGTTTGCGGGAGAGAATCTAGCATATCCTTCCACAGTAGACCTAGATACATACAGGGTGAGTTTATTTGCAATTACCAGTGCTTGGATCAATGCAGGGCCACTTACTTGACAGCATTGCTTTCAACCTGCCTCAGCTCCTCTTCGTCTCCGTACTGGTTGAGGTCTATGCCCGTCCATCCACCAAACAATGACAGTGCACCTTCCAATGAAGCATACTGCTTGTAGTCATTGTACTTGGCGAGGGCCTCTTCCTCCGTCCGGCCGAGGATGGGGGTGACCAAAGCCAGAACCTTGATCTTGGCCGGGTCACGCCCAAACTGCTCCTTGGCCGTCTGTCGGACTTCTGCAATATTCTTCTTGCAGACCTCGGGGGCATGAGCAGAGGTGAAGATTGCTTCGGCGTGCTGGGCAGCAAACGCCTTCCCAGCCTTGGAGGCACCCGCCTGCAGGAGTAGGGGTGTGCGCTGAGGGCTGGGGTGTGTAATGTGCGGGCCAGGGATGTTGAAGAACTTGCCCTTGTGGTTAATCTCTCGGACAAGCTCTGGGTCGGTGTAGATGCCCTTCTCACGGTTGAGCTGGATAGCGTCATCGCGCCAAGATGACTGGAAGAGCTTGTACATGACCTTCAGGTACTCTTCAGCTAGGGCGTACCTGTCATCATGCTAAACAAAGTGGTTAGTCAGTTCACATCTAAGACATAAGCCGATCCATGGGTATGATTGGCCAGGGGCTACTCGCATACACTCAGCTGTTCAGTTCGGCCGAGATTCTTTGCAGCCGAGTCCAGATAGCTAGTGACGATCTACACTGAGTTAGTTTCGTTAGGATCATACAAGCTACATGCAGTGCTACCCACGTTCCACCCAAGTCTATATTACATCAAGTTAGTACGTAAGGTTAGAGTGAGTGGATGGATCAAGGGCCATGGCGACAGACCTTCCCTTGGTGAGATGATCAACGGTCGACAACCTTCTAGCGAGATGGTATGGCTGCTCATAGGTCGTCGAGACCGTGACACCGAAACCAATGCTTTTAGTCACTGCAGCCATTGCAGATACAACAGCCAGCGGCTCTGTGACGGGCCATTGCGACCCGGAGACAATAGCCGGCTCAAGAGATTTCTTGTATACGTCATATCCGCCTACAGGCGAAGGCAAGAGTCAGTGGCTGCAAGTGAGACGAAACGGAATCTAGAATCCTCCGGATATAAAACGGAAGGCTCAATAGGCAGGGGAGATGACCAGGGATGCATATGCGGAGAAGACGGCAGGGGGGAATCTATCTTACCCAGCACATCTGCGATGAAGATGCCATGGAACTTGGCCTCTTCGAGCGTTTTGGCCAGCTCAACCCAGTGCTCGGTGTTGTCAAAGCGCCACGACTGATCGTCAGGGTGCCGCCAAAGCCCAGGGGACTGGTGTCCGCTGCCTGTCAATAGGATGTTCCCTTGTCAGCGCCAGAACCGCGACTCGTAGGGAGGAGGGGTGTGAGCATGGACGTCCGACCGGGGGAGAGGACGGCTGCATCTTGATTGGGCCTACACATCATAACGAATGCATTGAGAACAAGGCGCTTCTGCACGTCACGGGGTCCATCGGGGGCTGCCATGACGGTTGCTGGTTGGTGTTGGCTGTGAGTGATATGTCGGTTCAGATGGTAGGCGATAGCTTCAGCTCGATGTGGAAAGGGGCCCAGCCACCGTCCGCCAGGGACGGAAGACGGGTATATCTTTGTAGGGACCAGCCAGCAGCGAGCCCGATGATCGGAGGTATCGACACCGGTTGAGCCTGGTGGCCGTTGAGGACTGGGCCGGTGGTGGATGTCGAGGGGATTGCGTGATACGTTAGTTTCCACCAGCCCCAGTCTATCTGTGAGCTCGCCATCGCAGCAAGGAATGATGCACTTGTTGATTACACAGCAGAGTCGTGTCTGTCCTCGGCCATCCATGCAGCAATGCATCGATCTCGTAGTCAAGGCCAATAGATGAGATAACCGACCCCGGCCGGGGCGGTTGTTTGATTGCTGGCTTTAAGTGTCATTCAGACGCAATCTGCATCTAGTTTTGTCCTCTTACATTCATCCTCTTTCGCACCCCTCCTCCATCTCGAGGTCCCTGGTCGGTTTCTATTTTGTTTTATTTTATTTTTTTCTCGGGCTTTAATTTATAGAGCGCTCTCCGACCTGCATACAGCCTTCTCCCCAAACCCATCCACCCATCACTTACATCAAAATGCCTGAATGGCTCTCCTCCAGACGCTGGTCTTTGCGGACACGCAGTGAAAAACGCTCTCGCACGCCCGTCGAGGAAAAGACCGGTGATATCACAGCTGCTCCCGCACCAGCCAAGGTCCAGCCAGAAATCCAGATCCCCGACACACAAGCCGCAGTTCTTCTACACGCGCCGAAACAGCCATACCAACTTACCAGCGATCATCCTGTGCCAGAGCTTCTCCATGAGAATGAAATCCTGGTGCGCACGCGGGCGATTGGCCTGAACCCAATTGATTGGAAATCACCGTAAGCTCAAGCTCACGTCCTCCGGTGCCTCCGCGTCATGCCTTGCATAACATGTGACGTTTCATTATTCATCATCTTATGCTAACTCCCGCTTCCAGAGACTTCAATTTCGGTATCCCAGTGCTACCGTTCCTCTCTGGCCGAGAGCTGGCCGGAGATGTAGTACGCGCAAACTCAAAGGCCGGCTTCGCTGTTGGTGATCGTGTAAGTTCGACAATATTTCATGACATTAGATCAAACAGAGATGCTAACATTATGCCAGGTCGTCGCCATCTCAACCGACTACCGAGACCAGCGAAAAGGCGCCTACCAAGAATACGTCGTCGCCCCCGACTATAATGTTGTCCACCTCCCTTCCCATATCTCATACGAAGAGGGTTCAACCGTTGGTGTAGCGTTTGTCGCCGCTGTCCTCGGTCTTGGTGTATCAATGGGTGTGGATTTCTCACAGGTCGCCGACGGTCCAGACTTATTCACGCTCCTCAGAGATATTGACGAGTCGAGAATACCGGCCGACGTAAGAGCAGAGAGTCTGGCCGGTATCCGCAACAAGGAACGACCCAAGAAGGGTGACTGGCTGGCAGTTTGGGGAGGTGAGTTTCGCTTCTACAACGAATCCGGTGATCATACAATCTAACCCTCTTTTGCGTTTAGGTTCTTCCACTTCAGCACATCTCACAATCCAATTGGCGAAGCTCGCGGGGCTCAGAGTCGTAGTAATGGTTGATAAAGCCAAGCACGGCCTTCGTATTTCGAATCATCAATCTATCCGACCCGACCTTCTAGTGGACAGTCATGACCCGGAGAGAGCCATAAGCATCATCAAAGCCAACACCAAGGGCAACCTGCGGTTCGGCCTTGATACACGAGGAAAGGAAACGGCAGAGTATCTGCTGCGCGCCATCTCACCCGAGTCACCTTTAACCAAGCCGGGAGTGGATGAAGATAACTTGCCCACGCCGCCGGGAACACCGAGCGTCGATGGCCACAGGTCTCATCTCATCGGAATGAGTGGTCTTCCCAAAATCGCACCCGGCCAGGAGGTCTTGCTTCACAATGTCCCCATCAAGTTGTTCCACGATGTGCCCGAGGTTGGCTCGGCATTGACATCTTGGCTTGGTCGCCTCCTCGGTGAGGGCATCATTACCCTGCCTGACGTTCTGGATGTAGAAAAAGGATTCGAAAACATCAATTCGGGATTAGACCGGATGCGGAGGGGAGAAATTAGCGGTGGAAAATTGGTTGTAAAGGTATAGACGATAGATTGCATCCCAGCTCAGCTGGCCTTTTCTAGCATAGTTTGATCATCGGCGGTCAGTGCCCATTTATTCTACCTAGTCATATTCAGTCAGGTATGTATCCTGCACAAATGATTTTTTATCAAACTACTACGAAAATGCCAATATGTGACCATGAAGAAGGCGGCGTGGATTGGCCCATCGGTGCGATGATGCGAGAGGCTCATCATGTGCTACAATGATTTGCGGTTTGAGAAGCTGACCCAGGTCTGCGGTTGCAGGGATGCCTTATGCACGATCTACAGAGACCCAATCGGCGGAATACTGGCTCTATTTATCTATCTGTGTGCCTCGTAAGAGGCAAGGCACACACCCTTGCCAACATCCTAGTTCTATAGTGAATCTAATCTATCGTTGTCTCTCTATGGCAACTTTCAACCTCTCTTTGTATCAGGCTCAACATTGACTTGGCCAATCTCACTGGGGGTTTCTGATTCATCAGTTTCGGAAAGGACATGGTCCTTGGTACCCAGTTTCCGAATAACAAGCCAGGCGGGAAGGATGGCGACCGCCCAGAGACCAAAGTTGAGATAGACGGCCCCAACCTCGGCAATGATCACCTGGGATCCAATTCCATAACTGATAGCTTGCCAAGCAGACTCTGCTCCACGCAGAATGGCCGAATACCGAATGACTTCCTGCTTGTCGGTTGAGAGGTTCTGAACAATAAAGTATCTGAAAGTTTATTAGCATCAACGTAATTGTCCAGGCATCTTATCTAGCTTTTTTACTCACAAGAATAGGTAGTTCAGTTGGAAGCCCAGGGTAAGGAAGATGAAGACACCAAATCCAGCACCGAAGCCAGGACTAGACCAATCGTACGTGGGCCGAGTTTGGTGATATCTGGTGACCAAGACTGTGGCCCAAGTCCACCAGGCGCCTTGCAAGGTAACGATGACCCAGAACGCATACCTGGCTCGGACCTTCAAAGGGATTGTGGTGCGATCAATCCAGGCCTAAGGATTCGGGTTAGTTGTGAGTTCAGCTTATATTTTAGACATAGACATACACCAAGCAGATTGCCTCCAGTGACAGCCACTATGCCGGAAAGGAAAGATCCCAGTGCTCTTGCGCGCACACTAAACCATACTGTTTTTATGAAAGTCAGCAAAGTCAGTTTAACAGAAAGTGGAAATAAGAAGCCTTACAGGATAGGTAAGTGAAAAACACTGCTTCCGAGAATACGGCTTGACCAATGAAGAATAGAATAAGAAGGAAGTCCTTGGTGAAGAAAAGCTTCGTAGTTCGCTTAATCTCAGGCCAGGGGCTTCCATCAATTCTTAGATTGACCTTCTTTCCATCCAAACGTTCAACTTTCTTAGGTGGTGTAAGGAGCATGCCGAAGAAGGGTCCCAGAGCCTGGATAGTGATGAAGATGATGAAGACCGTGTAGGAAACCTTGCCGGCCTCGGAGCGGTCTGCATTCAAGCCGAGGTTGATCGCTCCACCGATGATCTGTCCGGACAGACGATAGGTAAGCCAGTACCCAAGAGCTTTGCCCCTGTTCCATGGTTCTGGATACGCGATGGCAATGGCAGCTTCAGCCATCCAAAACACGCCGGCGGAGATACCGCAGAGTGCAGCACCGAGGATTACAAGCCACTCATTACCAAAACGATTGTTTGCGTATAGACCAGCGGCATAGGGCGCATAGCCGATACTAAAACCCAGTGTAAGTAAGATCCCGAGAAGATAAAATAGGCTAATCAACATACGTTCCAAAGATGAGAGCGCCCTTGATTCCAATATAGTGCACCAAGGCACTGGATACCCAGCAGGATACAACCATAAGACAGAACGTCAAGGCATTTGCAGTGTTGACCAGGTATGGCCTCTGAGCTCCACCTGCTCCCAGGGAATTCATGGCAGTCCAGATACCAGGAGCCGCAAGGTTGCATAGACCCAGAATGGTCATGTTGTAGAACGTAGAACGGTACCAGCGCACTGTGATTGGCACATGTGAGCCACAGACGATCGTCTTCAAAGCTAGCAGCACTATTTCTTACCACGATGCGGGCCGCCAGTACCAGCGGCGCCGCCATTCTCGCTATTGTCGACGGCTTGTTCTGCCGTGGAAGCCATGACTGGTCAGATGGCGTATGGATCAATGCAAGGTAACACAGATTAATGCAAGACAGAGCGGAGAGAATTGCTTTTTTTTTTACCCATTTATTCAGAATCTGCAGCATGACGACCTGTTCTTATCTTCTACAAGCCCGTTTGTCCGAGCACAATCACGCAATAGCCTCTATGTCACTCTCACCTTGGCAGTGGAGAATGAGCCGTGAAGAAAACACCCTTTGATAGAACTCCTCATATACCTCGATTGCACGCTGTACGTGCCTGTCAGAAATTATAAACCGAGTCGCAAACTTCCCGCGAAGCTACCGGGAATGGCCTCCCAGCAGGGTTAGGCAGTATGAAGTAATGAAATACGATGCGACACTGGCTCCCTCGCGTTATCACAGCTCCAAATGGCGCGGGAGCAAATGCGAGCTGGTGAATGGCTGGAATCTGCCACGCGCAAGACCAGGGACCAATGTCATCATCGCGCGGGCTCCAGATTGGTGTGTGGCCGTCGACGATCTCCGGGCTGCCGGTGGGATGCCTGCACGAATGCCGATAGCGGGCAAGCTTTCCCCTGCCAGCTGCTGCGGATCTCAATGCCAAGTTCCAGAAGCCGGCCGGTCCCAAGTGGCCCAGGCCCGGCCGGCTCGAAGCTTGGTTGACGCTACAAGGGATGCTAATTGCAAGATTGTCGCTGCATGTTGGCTGATCCGGTTGCCTGTGTCATGCTGAAACGTGCGCCAAGCCACATGGGATGTCGATGTGAGAAAGAAAGACGCGTGATTTGGAAGAGAACGACACATAATTAGCCTCGGTTGCATCAGCCCGGCCAGGATATGGTCGATGAAGTCGAATGTCATCGTTGCCGCACAACCGACGCTGTTTCTTCGGTGACATAGCAGTCTGGACTGTAAAATTTGTCCTCGTCAAACATGCTCGCACACCTGAGTCGGATTAGAGAGGAAAGGGCGTTCCTTTGCTCTCGATCCTCAGTGTGGTAACCCCCCTCCTGGATCCGGCGAGAGCGTCCCAGCTGTCTTGGTTGGGCAATGCATGCCTCATTGGTGTGCTCTGACAGAAAACTAAATAAGTAATGAACGATTCTCCTTCCTCTATGCTTATTCCTTTTTGTGCAACCGCGATGCTGTACATAGATGCGTCTAGCTTCGGTCAGCGATTCTCCTCGATCTGATCATAGCCTTGGCAGGTGACAAGCTCAACACTGTAGCTCAGGGCTATACAGCTGGGCGCAGATGCTTGAGTTTGTTATCGTGATCTCTCAACGCCCCTGGTTTGTGCTCATGTTCAAAGGCAGAAGGTCTTGGGTAAGATCAGCTCATCTGCCCTCACGAATAGAGTCAACATAGGAGAGAATCTAGGATAACAGTCAGCACACATCCGGCCTCATTCCCATTTCCTATTCGGCGTTTCAAGACTGAGATTACCATATTATTGGCCTCGTTGTCGCCACTACTCCAACATGGGGTCGGTAGTGAGCATATCAGGATAATCCTTCAACGACTGCTCTTCCGCCTTGCGGTTCCGGATAACTACCGTTACTTGTTTCCAAGAGCTTCAGTTGGCCAGGCAAGCCCCATTCTTTGTCATTATGGGCCAGAATATTCGCACAAGTCGATTGGTACACCCCAAAAATCTCAGACACGCCTGGATTCAGCACTGATCTACGAGGCTCGTTTTGGCTTTGGTATTGTCTAGCTTGAAGGGAAAAAAGTACCAGCACCAGCAGATACATTTGATCAGATAAGATAAGATCGGATTGGGCCAGACGACTGTACTCTGCTCAAGGACGGATCTCTTAGAACTGGCCTTTCGGTCCGCTACGCGTGATCGGAGATCAAACCATAGCTCAACATGCTCGCCACTTCAAAACCTCCGGGCTTTTGTGGGGAATGATAAATAGACGGGAAGAGACCCGGAGTGGCGCTGAGCCAAAAACAGTTTGCTCGGACGGGTTCCCTTCCGTAAGAACCATCGCCGAGTCATTCGGAGGCCATTCGCAGATCGGCTGACAACCGAACCGCACAACCACGTTCTCGGTAACTACCCGAGACACGCTTCGGCCGTCAGCCTTCGAGTTGAACAGAAGTCAAGGCGAAGATCATGACTCTCAAAATGCTAAGCAGGTTCTACAACTTTAGAAAGATCCGGAATCTGTCCGGTATCGGGCGGCAACCGACGAAGAATCGGCGAGGCTGTTGAGATGTCTGACGGAGTTCAAAAACTATAGATATAGCTGGTCAACTCTTCAAATGGAGAGATTATTCTCAGCAATAACAAGCCATCAACAAAAAGCATATTCTGTTTTATACAAAATCTACTAGTATCTGTCTTCCGCGATATCATTTACTACCGCCACTATGGTTCTTGTTCCTCATCGACCCGGCCAGTTCAAGGTTCTTGGCGAGGTCAACGATGCGGCCAGCAAAATCTTAACTGAAGAAGCTTGCCAATTCCTTTCTATCTTGCACAGATCTTTTGAAGGAACGCGTAGAGATCTTCTCTACCAGCGTGTGCTCAAACAAAAGAGATGGGATGCTGGAGAGCGACCTGATTTCCTCCCCGAGACCAAGGATATCCGAGAAGATGGCCGATGGCGCGGAGCCGCCCCGGGCCCAGGTCTTGCCAACCGTCGTGTTGAGATCACCGGCCCTACCGACAGAAAGATGGTCGTCAACGCCCTGAACTCCAATGTCTATGCTTACATGGCTGACTTTGAAGGTGAGCAACTGGTTTCCAATTACTGCCATGTGAGATCAAATCTAACAATCTAAAGATTCTCTTACACCGACTTGGAACAACGTTGTCCAGGGTCAGACTAACCTCTTCGATGCTGTCCGACGCCAAATAGATTTTTCGCTCGGCGAGAAGGAGTATAAGCTACGCACAGACAGAACTCTGCCGACCTTGATCTGCCGTACCCGTGGATGGCATCTCAATGAGGAGCACTTCCTCGTCGATGGCGCCCCTATCTCAGGTGCACTGTTCGATTTCGGTCTGTACTTCTTCCACAACGCCAAGGAGCTTATTGCTCGAGGTCTTGGCCCTTACTTCTATATTCCCAAGCTCGAGTCTCATCTCGAGGCAAGACTGTGGAATGACGTATACAATGTCGCCCAGGACTTCATTGGAATTCCTCGGGGGACCATCCGCGGTACTGTTTTGATCGAAACCATTACTGCTGTATTCGAAATGGATGAGGTATGTGCATGCGCATTGATCTACTGTCTTGGTCTCCTCTTCTAATCGTACGAATAGATCATCTATGAGCTCCGCGACCACATCGGAGGCCTCAACTGTGGCCGATGGGACTACATCTTTACCTTCATCAAGATCTTCCGCAATAGGCCTGATTTCATCCTGCCAGACCGCATTGATGTCAACATGACCGTGCCGTTTATGGACGCCTACGTCAAGCTCCTGATCAGCACTTGCCACCGCCGCGGCGTGCATGCCATGGGCGGAATGGCTGCCCTCATCCCCATCAAGAACGACGAGGAGGCCAACGCCAAAGCCATGGCCAACGTCAAGGCCGATAAGCTCCGGGAGGTCCTGGCCGGGCACGACGGAACTTGGGTCGCTCATCCGGGGTTGGCGTCGCTTGCAGAAGAGATCTTCAACACGTACATGCCGACGGCAAACCAGACCTTCCGCCGACCACCCCTGGCGCAGGTCACCAGGGATGATCTCCTGAACCCTAATGTGTCTGGAAATATCACACTCGACGGTGTGAAGAAGAACATCCAGGTCTGCCTGGTGTACATGGAGGCATGGATCCGCGGCATTGGCTGCAGTCCCATCAACTTCCTCATGGTACGTAATCGTCCGACATCCCGCTGCAACCTGACCGATTATCTAATAATATGTGCCCAATCTATAGGAGGATGCGGCTACCGCCGAGGTATCACGAAGTCAACTCTGGCAGTGGGTGCGTCACGGGGCCAGCACGGTGGAAGGAATCCGACTGGACAAGCAGTTCGTGCTTGGCCTTCTTGACGAACAGCTCACGAACCTCACATCATCTGCGGCAGCAGACAACAAGTTCGAGCTCACCGCCGGATACCTCAGGAAGGAGATCACAGGCGAGGACTACTGCGGCTTTTTGCCAGAGTGAGTGTCTTCCGAAACACCCCGATCAATGCGGGCATTGAGCTAACACAGTCGCGTCCAGATTACTCTACAATGAGATTACGACCAAGAAGTCGGCATAATCTTGCATGTAGGAAAGTAGAGCGCATTAGAGAAAGTATCAAAATCATGAAACATGACCCAATTAGACAGCATAGTTGAGCAGAAATCCTATTTTTCTCCATAGCTACCCGCCTGATTCAACCCTGCCTGATGATCATTGAATGAAAGCCCAGAAGTGGAATCACAAATCGTTCGAAATAACTGGCCCTTCGGAAGCCTTGGGTCCGAGAACCACTGACTGAATCTTGTTGTTAGATTATGCAGGGGCACAAATCTGTTCAAGATCGACAGCAAAAGTGGTCGCGTTTCCCGTCTTCCAAGGATCGGCGCCTTCTCATGCTTTATTCGCGGGTGAATCCATTGAAACACCACCAACCAGACCGTACGATTCACGAAATGAGCAAGGATTGCCTTGGCTATGGACCCATTGCCAGTCTGCCCACATCAAGTGGCAGAGCAGACGCCTTGCACGGCCCTTGAGGCCGTGATCCATCCCCGGATTAACTCCAGCATTCGTCGTAGGCGCCCGTTGAGTATTCTCCGGCTCGTCGCGAGGAACTCCGGCAGAATTGGAGATCAGATTTGCCGCTGCTGACGTCGCCCTGCGTTGCGTTGCATGCGTCAGGTACCCTTTTCAGCCCCTTACCGCCAACTTTATCTGACCACTGGATCACAATTTGGTCCAAAGCGTCTGCTTCGAGCCATCCTCCGAGGACTGGGCATTCCGCTTATCGTCTGCCTCTCGTTCCAATGATCTCACGGCGATGACATCAGATAGATGATGACCCCTCAAGACATACGGCAAAGGCGAAACTACCACGACCCCAGCAATTGTAGCGGGCAGGGCAAATTCGATGGCTAAATTCCTCCGTGCTTGCCGCTGTTGCATCCGCCGGGTTTCACTGTGCCACCCCTTAACTTTTCCCTGAAACAGATGAGTGGCAGGGATGGGGACTTTAGTTTCCCGAATCCCCAGGATTTTTCTTTGGAGATTCAGCACACATGACACATGGAGGGCCAAAGCCAATAAGGGTTCACCATATCGTGCATGTCTATATTCAAACTCCCCCACAACGGACCAAAGCTTGATCAGTCCGTTTTAGGAAGGCTGCCACCATTCTCGAGTCTCCTGGCTTGAGTGCGTCTAGCGCTTAGGGAAGAGATCTGCTGGGTGACCTGCACCCACACAGCTTGTGGATCCCAACTTGTCGTGTGGTCTCACTCTCGCTGAAGGAGAGAGAGGGAGCAATGAGGGGCTCGACGGCCCGGGAAGACGGGAAGAGAAAGCGAATGCTGAGACTTCTCTTGACCTCCTGCGGCTTGTGTCTTCCGTTTGGAGTTGAATCCGAAGTGTTTGATGCCCTATGTATCAGAAACCGAACCGAATATAAATATGGCTTCCGTCCGGCCCCTCTGTCCTTCAACTCCAGACACTCATCCACCAACATCTCATTCTCCAGTATCATCGATTTCAGAACTCGGATACAATGCTCTCTCTTGTTGCTCTCTCCCTTATTTCTGCGGCTGCGGCCCAGAAGGCTGGTACCAACACCGCCGAGACTCACCCTTCCCTTACATGGAAGAAGTGCACAGGTGCCAACTCGTGCTCCAACGTCAGCGGCTCGATCGTCATTGACTCCAACTGGCGCTGGACCGACAAGGGTGAGAAGCACCAACGTATCAATCCTTCAGTATCACGGACCAGTACTAACCATCCTTCTAGACGGCACCAACTGCTACGACGGCAACAAGTGGACCAGCGCTTGCAGCAGCAACGAAGACTGTGCCCAGAACTGCGCTCTTGAGGGTGCCGACTACTCTGGAACCTACGGTATCACTACTAGCAGCGATGCCTTGACCCTCAAGTTTGTTCAGGATCACGCCTACGGCAAGAACATCGGTTCCCGAACCTACCTCCTGAACTCTGAGTCCAAGTACGAGATGTTCAACCTGATTGGCAACGAGCTGGCTTTCGATGTCGATCTCTCAACCGTTGAGTGTGGTCTCAACAGTGCCCTCTACTTTGTCGCCATGGAGGAAGACGGTGGCATGGCCAGCTACCCCAACAACAAGGCCGGTGCCAAGTACGGTACTGGTTACTGTGATTCCCAGTGCGCCCGTGATCTCAAGTACATCGGCGGTCTTGTAAGTCATCCAGACTTTTCTCTCTAGGACCCCCAGAGCTAACCTCTCGATTCACCGTAGGCCAACTACGAGGGCTGGGAGCCTTCTGACAGTGATGAGAACGCTGGTGTTGGACAGCGCGGTGCCTGCTGTGCCGAGATCGACATCTGGGAGTCCAACTCTCACTCCTTTGCTCTGACCCCCCACGCATGTGAGAACAACGATTTCCACATCTGCACTGCTCCCAACTGCGGCGGTACCTACTCTGAGGACCGCTTTGCTGGCGACTGTGACGCCAACGGCTGTGACTACAACCCATACCGCATGGGCAACGAAGACTTCTACGGCGCTGGCAAGATCGTCGACACGAAGTCGAAGTTCACGTAAGTCTTACATCTCTCCTTCTACCAGTCGCAACAGCATGTGGCTAACAGCATCTCCAGCGTCGTCACATCCTTCACCACCAGCGGCCTCAAGCAATTCTTCGTCCAGGGCGGCAAGCGCATCGACATCCCCGCCCCCACCCACGCCGGCCTCCCCGACAGCAGCGAGATCAACGACGCCCTCTGCAGCACCGTCTTCAACGTCTTTGGCGACTACGACCGCTACTCCGAGGTCGGTGGATGGTCTGCCATCTCCGACGCTCTCTCTAAGCCCCATGTTCTGGTCCTGTCCATCTGGGCCGACGTAAGCTCCCCTACTTTCTCATACGATCTTGATCCGGATAGTTTTGCTAACACAGTATCTCTTTCTTCCAGCACTACGCCAACATGCTCTGGCTCGACGGTGTCTGGCCCAAGGACTCCACCAGCCTGGGTTCCAAGCGTGGCGACTGCCCTGCCAACTCTGGTGTTCCCTCCGAGGTTGTCGCCAACTACCCCGACTCGTAAGAAAGCCCTCATCTCGAGTATGATATTAAAACCCATGTTTGCTAACCTGAACCCTTTCTAGCTTCGTCACCTGGTCCAACATCCGCTTCGGACCTGCCGGCTCCACGACTGGTCTGTAAGCGACTACGCTCGAAGACTATCTGTCCCGGAACGGGGAGAAAAATTGACTCGCTGGGAGAATCAAGAGATTTTACGAGGAGGATGCTTCAGTTATCTATATTCGCAATCTTTCAACCATTTTCTGTATATAGCTCTTGGCTCTGGACGCCCTGATTTCCATGGCGGCAAGTATCCGTCTTGTTCTAGACGAGGCCTGTTTCATAAGAATAAAACTCTATCCTATATCTTCCAAAGTCTTACTTGCGTGAACTACATCGATAGTGCAAACTATAGGGGAGGTTAGTTGTCCAACTCGCCAACGGGGAGTTATATACTTATAACTAAAATGATTAATTTAAATTTTTAATATTTAATAATATAATATAGAAATTACTATTATAGAAATTTTTAGATTAATAATATTAGGAGTAGTTTACTAAATACTTATTTAATTATATAGTTTAGTATTATATAATAATATCTTTTATATATAGGCTATATAATTTAATAGAACTTAAGATAATTTAATTATCCCACTTAGAATAACTCTTATTAGTCTTATATTTCTAACCTACTCTAGACCTCCGTCTAGTATAAGTCGCCCAACCTGTTACACTTTAACATACTATCTTTTATATCCAATAGAGCGAGAGGATTATATAAATAAGATATGTCCTGATTGAGCTAGGATCTGACCGGCTTTCCTGGAAACTTTCGGGTTCTTATTAATAAACTTCCTAGGAGACCCTAGCTTAAATAGCCTAATGCTTTCCAGGTATTCAATTTAATTATCAGTTAGTTTAAGCTTTAGAGCTTGGATATTGTTTTATAAATACCTGACCTTCCGTCTACCAACAAGAGGGAAGATATTAGGGGTTTTAGATAAAATATAAGCTAAAGCTACAGCGGTTACAGACTCGATACCATGTTCAGCTGCTACCTTACTGCTTAGTTGTCCAATCGCCGCTAAATAAACTTCGGACCTTGGAATGTCTACTTTTGAGTTCGTGGGGTAAAGTGTTTTCTGATTGGGTATTGCTAAAAGCTATCGTGTATTTGAAAAGGGTGCCTCATTTCCTTGGTTCAATCACGTCGAGCGTGGAGAGAAGCCCGCCAACACCTCGTAAACAGGAGATGCACCCCGCAGTGACTGACCAGTCGGCCCAGTCGGTGTTCTCGGCCAACTCAGCTAATCTACCTCAATCGCAGCCTCGGCCTCCACTTCGATAAGGAAACCAGGAATAGCGAGTGCTGAAACGCCAATAAGGACGCTGGGTGGTGCATGCCCACTGTCACCGAAAAAGTCCCGAACAGCAGCGGCAACAATGTCCCTGAGAGCTTCGGTGAGATTAACCCCGTAGATGTTCAACTTTGATACATCTGATGGAGCAGCGTTCGCGACCGCTAGACACGCTGAGACATTCTGAAACGCGTTGGCTGCCTGTTCTGCAAATGTGTTTGGGAGTGGCGATGACACAGGCTTAGAGCTCCGTGGCGGCGTTCCCAGCTGGCCGGCTGTGCGGAGAAGATAGACAGTAGGTTGGGTTGGTGGGACGGGAATGACAGAAAGGTCTGAAAAGGTTGTCATGGGGCGTCCATCGCCAGGAACATTGGCGGTACGAACCAGAGACGATGACATGGTCGGTGATGGTGTCCCGTAGGCTCTGATAAGACTTGACGAGGTAGAGTGTAAATGGCAAAAGTAGATGAGATATAGAGCCGCAGCCGCTCACTGTATGCACACACATGGTCGGCCCGTCGCTGCAAGACCGAGTCCTCCGGTGAAGCTTATCTCGCTTCAAATGGATCTCATCTGGCGTGCAGGGGGGCGAGATTGTGGGAAACTATCCCGCCACGATCAGTGGGTACCGCCGTCGTAGTGCCAATATTGACAAACTCCCTTATCTAGAGGTGAAAGCATCTGAACGTCGAACCGGGCTCAGGAGGTACGCGGAGTACATGTACATGGTCACTTCCCCATATCCGCAACGAGGATTTAATAGCCACTTCAGGCAGCCTGCAACCGCTGGTAAGTCGTTGGTAAGACCACTGGCCATGTCACAAATGACGTCTCCTGAGAAGAAGGGCCCTGGTGCCCAAGATACGATTGATGCCGCACCCAGCTCGGAACTACGTTCACCCTCGGTGACTGTGGGCGAGACTGACAAGTACGAGGGTGACCGTGTAGCTGAGCAATTCTACGGCTCATCCGTCACTGATTCGTACCGACTGAAGTCGGAGCTTGTGGGAAGATGCTTTGAGGACATTGGCATGGGCCGTTACCAGTGGGAACTCTTCATCATCTGCGGCAGCGGCGGCGCCATTGACAATTTGTGGGTAATGCTCATGTTTGTTGTTTACGATACTGAGTCTGACATGTCACATAGCTGGTCTCAAGGTATCGGTGCCGTCCAGCCATCTGTCGCCCTCGAGTTCTCACGTGGACCCCCGGTAACCTTCAGTTCGATGGCCTACTATGTCGGTCTCATCCTCGGCGCTACCTTCTGGTCGACCTCGGCCGACTTTATTGGACGAAAGCCTGCCTTCATGGCCACCCTGTTGATCGGTGGTATCTTTGCTCTTGGTGCCGGAGCTAGCCATAACTTCATCACGTTCAGTGCTCTCTGGGCTGTCATCGGGACGGCTGCTGGGGGCAACGTGCCCGTTGACAACATGATCTTCCTCGAATTTGTCCCTGCGTCACACCAGTGGCTTCTGACGGCGCTCTCGACCTGGTGGATCCTTGGCCAGCTACTCGTGTCGCTTATCGGATGGGGGTTCATCGCCAACTTTTCCTGCCCAGCTGACGGTATGCCCGGAACTTGTCGACGCGAGGATAACATGGGATGGCGATACACCATGTTCACTCTGGGTGCGGCGGCGGTGGCTTTCTCCTTGGTACGCATTCTCGTCTTCAAGATGCCCGAGTCTCCGCGATATCTCCTATCAAAGAAACGCGATGCCGAGGCCGTCGAGGCTGTCAATTACGTCGCCCGCCGCAACGGAAAGCCCGAGCCTTTAACTTTGGCCATGCTTAATGACATTGACATACGTCTTGGAAATATGACTGCAGGGGACGACAGCTCACGAGTTGGACTCACACGAAAGCAAATTCTCAAAGAGAACATCTCCGACTTCAAGTTCAGCAACATCCGACAGCTCTTCACCACAAGGCCCTTGATCCAGCACACAACCATTCTTTGGACCATTTGGATGACCATTGGCATTTCGTACCCTCTTTACTTCAACTTCCTCCCAACCTATCTTGCTCAGCGATTTGTGCAAGACTCATCCTTGAATGCCACGTACCGAAGCTACTGCATCCAGTCCGCCGTCGGCATGGCTGGTCCGGCTCTAGCTGCTGCGCTGGTTCAGACCAAGTTAGGAAGACGTTATGCCATGGCGATCTCTTCTGTCGCCACTGGAGCGTTTCTCTTTGCCTATACTGCGGCGCGGACACCAGCGGCCAACTTGGCTTTTTCTTCAGTCACTGGGATGGTTGGAAACCTCGGTAAGCAAGCAATCACTGTATTTTTGCCCATCTTTGATGCCCGGCCTCTGACCTCATTAGAGTACGCGATTCTTTTCGCATTCACGCCCGAGTCGTTCCCCGCCCCGTTTCGTGGTATGGCCTGTGGCATCGCAGCTGGTCTTTTGCGGCTCGGTGGACTCTTCGCCAGCCTGATCGGAACTTATACGGACTTTTCGGTTGTGCCAATCTATATTGCTGGTGCCATGTGGGTGGGCGTAGGCCTCATGTCTTGTGTGCTGCCATTCGAGACTCATGACCATGCTGCCATCTGAGCTCAGAAAGAGATTGCTGAGGGTGTCCCGGCACCTACTTTGTGACATTGACAAGATCTTAGCATGCGCTTTGTGCTGTCGCTTGTTATTGACACCGGCTGTTTCAAATTATGTTCTAAGTTGACGCTGTATTGTATAGTTGACGCTAATTCAGACACTTGGTGCCAATGAAAGCCTTTCACTTATTGTGATACCATTGGCTGCCGATAACTTATTGTGATACCATTGGCTGCCGATAAATGCAAAGGATCATAATAAAGTGTTTCTTGGTGATGTCATACTTGTACCCTTTCGTATAGAAGCTTTGGCTGCTCGCTACAACTCAACGGTGGTCGAAATTTCCAAAGGACTTAACCACTTCTGTGGACGTGGCAGGCCAAATGTAGCGTCATATTTTTTTTCTCCTGGATCTGACATTACACTGACGATGTAAATAGTCCTCCGCCATGCTACGAGCAAGAGTGTGCGACGGTGATCCTTTATCTGGTTCAGAGACATGCACTCTTGGATAACACGGAGCGGTAGCACAACCTCATTAGTGAGAACCATCGAAGATCATGACACAAAAGTGTTTCTTGCGTTTTGCAAACTACTTTTTGCTAGGATACGTTTTTCTGTACAAGCCTAGATTCTCATTCAGAGCCCTGTCCGTCAACGCGCACAGGTATGCATCTGCAGCATCCCCAGCCCTGTGCTCCACCCATGACCATGCAGGAACAACGAAGACATCCTTCTCCTGCCAATCAACGGTGATCTCCTCAGAAGGTGTCTTAATCTTGGTGCTACCGCTTCCGCTGTTCACAACATATATAAATGAACAGGTTTCCTGAAACGGTGGTGTGCTATACCCCTTCTGAATCCTCTCAGCCTGAGCGGAAATGGTTTTCGAGAAGTGATTGCCATTTGTTTGATAGTTATAAACCATGTGAGGTTTGTCTTGGCTCTGCAATGCTTCCAAGGCTGTCGTCCATTTGAAGTGGAATGGACTACCCTCCGTTACCCTTGATGAGGGTCGCATTAGTGAGTAGTTTCATAAGAGTCATAAGCTCGCCACTCACAGATCAGGGACCTTGGGCGCCTCGTACAACTCAAGAAAGTTTATGCGGCCAAACACATGGACCGGGATATCCAGGCAATCCACCCAGATGGTCGGCTTGCTGCCATCGTTGCCATGATAATGCCACTGCCACGAAGGCGTCAAGACTAGATCACCAGGCTCTAGATAGATTTTGTGGCCTGCAACAGAAGTGAATCCTTTCTCAGATTCGAGAATGAGTCGAACAGCGTAGGCCATGTGCCTGTGCGCCGGCGCTGTCTCTCCCGGGAGAACGGTTTGGAATCCGGCGTACAGCGTGTCAGTTGTGTATGGGGAAGGGCCACCGCCGCTCGCTAGGAGTGTCCAGTCAGCGATAGATTGTTGAAGGTGTTAATGGCACCCGGGTCTAGGAACATACGGATTCCAGGATTGACCATCATCATGGCCCTGCGCTCTGCCATGGACTCGGGGACGATGGCGGCTGTGTCCATCAGGATCTTCCGCATGTCGTTCCATGACCATTTGACAGGCTTGGCGCGAGGGTTCGGGCTTAGCTTGGACACCTTATCTGTGACTGTCCACATGGGATATGAGTTGTGCACTCGACACAGATCTAAGATCTGGTCAGTAGCTTTCTTGACTGTCTCCTCTATAGACATTGTAGGGGCACGAAGAAGCGATCAATGAGCGTCAAGCCACGCACAATTGCGCTTCTTGAGTTTATATTGACTGCAGGCTCATTATCTGTAGGCTCAGCAATAACAGTATAAGGGCTAGCAAGTTAGTGACTACGGCTCCATCGGCCTTGACGTGGTCGGTGGTGTCGGGGTGCTCGGCCACGTCGGTGGTCGGGGTTCTCGGCCCTTTCTCTATACCCCGCGTGACTAGATTCGTGGCGGGTACAATCATTCACTCTTTTATTTTCATTTGATACGAAGAAGTAATATACAAGAGTCTATGGATATTAATGGTAAGTTGAATGACGAGGTAGTAAAGTCCGGCAATAGCTTCAATACGTTTGAAATCCGGCGGAATTCGTTTCAAGGATTGCTTTTAGTAATTACTGCCGTCCATTAAGAACAAAATGGTGCAAAAGGTCATAATTATTGGTTCTGGTAAGTTGGTATACCCCGCGTGACGCCGACTGGCTAATCATACCTCCCCTAGGGGTCGCTGGTCTTTCGCTGGCCCACGGACTTACCAAGGTTTGTTTCAGTTTCTCCTTCTAGTCTTCAGGATCCTAACTATGTACAGCAAGGGATCGAATATGAAATCTTCGACAAGAGGGGTCCCGCAACTCCACAACGGGATTGGGGCATCACTGTTCATTGGGCGGTTGAGTATCTTAGCCTGTATCCCGATGACATGGGCAAGCGCCTTCGTACGGCACAGGTCGTGGAAAGCAAGGAGAAGAAGCCAGCCGAGTTCGTGCTTTTCCACAATGGCGAGACCGGCGAGATCATCAAGGAGATTCCCCTGGGCCCTGCTCGCCGATTCAGTCACCGTAAGATTCGGGCCCTCCTCGCTGAGGGGATACCGGTGCAGTACAACAAATCGCTAGAGACGATCAATGAGCTTCACAATGGTGTTGAGGCCATTTTTACAGACGGTACCAAGGCTTGTGGAGACATTCTTATTGGTTGTGACGGCAGCAGATCATCCACGAGGAACTTTCTCTTCAACGGTACCGAGGACGGGGAGTGGAAGCCACTGCCTGGACTGATTCTTAACAACTTCTGGATGACATACGAAACAGAGCAAGCGAAAACTCTCCTTAAGCAGCTTGGAGGTTTCCTAGATATTGCATGTCACCCGACTGGTACTTACTATGGATTGATACGTGAGTGGTCCCGGTCTGGCCGTCCGGACAAATGTGCACTGCTAATGACATATCTCGCTCAGCTCTTGACATTTCGGACGATAAGAAGCCAGAGGAGTGGAAGTTCCAGGTCTTCATGGGTGTGCGTAGCGATATCAAGCCAGAGGATGACTCGCCTGAGAAGCGCTTTGAGATTGTCAAGGCTGCAGGGAAGCCCTTTATCGATCCATTCCGCTCCGGTATTGAATGGATGCCTGAAGGTACCTACATTAGCCCAGACAGGTACGGCACATGGGAGACACGCCGTTGGGATCACCGAGGCGGTAGAATCTTGCTGGCGGGCGATTCGGCGCATTCCATGACAGCACGTAAGTTCTCACAAACGTGTACCTGTGCCTCAAATATGAGCTTACGGACTGTACAGATCGCGCTCAAGGATTGAATCACTCCCTCCAGGATATTCTCAACGTAATCAAGGGTATTAAGAGGGTTCGTGAAGGAGAGTTGACCAGGGAAGAATTCGCAAACGAGTACATCGACGAGGTTGTCCCTCGTGGATCTGAGGAGGTGCGCATGTCTTTGGAGCAAGGAATGGCTGTGCATAATTGGGAAAGAGTGGCAACTATGCCGATTCTCAAGATTGGCACAACGCCGCTCCACATGGAACAAGACATTGTGCCTTTGCCTGCAGCTTAGATTTTAGTCAGTGTGTCTTGAAATGAACAGTCGGGCTTGGATTCTAGACCTACCTCCTCCCATGAATTTCTTCGCGGCAAGAGTTTGGGTACTAATGCAAATCGACCAACATTAGGCCCGTAGAGCTGGGCGTTGGGGTTGAACTTGTAACAGGTATCCCGTAGGCTGCACTGCCAAACATATTCATTATCAGTGGGCTTATAGTCTGTTGTCCTCTATTAAGGCCACGCATTTGCCTTAGGATGACACGTAGTGAGCTGGACTTGGAGGTTGCATGGGATCAGAGCATTGCCCAAGTTGCAGAAAAGCAGATGACATATATAAACTATACTGGCAAAGCACAGGTAATCGTGCTATCATTGTATCCTTTACACTGGCATTGCCAAACCATCACCTCTCCCATCACTTCCAGCGTGATACACACGCTTGCCAGAATCTTTATCAATGGATTGCTTGATGATCTGGCCTCGCCCAAACCAGACCCGTGCCCACTCCTTCATTACCTTGATATCATGGCCTTTGGCCCGGAGTTCCTCCACGACACCCTCGCTAATCCCATCTTCCACAAAAATGACCGTCGGCTGGTCTTTCACTGCGGCAGCGATGCATATCCTGGGGGCATCGATGGCTTGCTGCGGGTTCATCTTGAATACCTCAGTGTTCAAGAGAACTTGAACGTGGCCCTGGGGTTGCATCAGACCTCCCATCACACCATACACATATCCCAGCTGGCGAGCTGCGCCGTCGCCGTGTGTCACGAGACCCGGAATGATGGTGTGATAGGGACGCTTTCCCCCAGCGTAAATGTTGGGGTGGTCCTCCGGCCCAAGATCGAAGCCACCTCCGCGGTTCTGTAGGGTGAAGCCACATCCTGTCGGCACAATACCTGAGCCAAACTCGCGAAAAACAGAATTGATGAAGCTCATGGCGTTGCCATCGCGATCTGTCACCGCAAAGTAGACGGTATCGCTGTGGTTCTGAGCAGGGCTGGGTCCAAACTGGCTTTCAGAAAATACGCCTGCCTTGTCGCTGTTGAATAGCTTCGCCCGTGTCGCGAGATACTCTGGAGAGATCATTTGAGCTGGCGAGATGGGGCTGGTTTCTGGATCGGTCACCCACCAGACAGCGTCAGCAAAGGCGATTCTGAGGGCTTCAATGACAGCGTGAAGGTATGTAGACGTGTTATGATCGTCTAGCCCAAAAGTTGGGATCTTGCCGGCTCGCTCCAGTTGCTCTAGAATGCCCAACGCCATGAGTGCGACAATGCCTTGGCCATTGGGAGGATGTTCCCACAGTTCAACGCACTTGTCTTTGTCGGACCCAACCCCAAAGCCACCAAATTTGAGGGAGATGGCCTCGGGGGCTTCGGTGCCGTGAGCAGTGTGGTCTTCCAGGTCAGAAAGTTCCAGGTGGCTTCCTTTGTCCTTGAGAGTGTCGACAATGGCTTTGGCAATCCAACCTTTGTAGAAGCCCTCCTTGCCCTCCGATGCAAGAGTCCTCAGTGTCTTGGCCAAGTCGGGATTGCGAAAGATTTCGCCAGCTCGAGGCGCTCGGGCCTGACCATCGGCACTCTCATCTTGCTTCAATATACCCATGTAGTTGTCGGAGGCCTTCTTCAAATCACTTTCGTTTGTTTTCCACATATGTGCCGAAATCTCACTGACAGGGAATCCATCGTCTGCGAGCTCGATGGCGGGGTCTAAAACTTGTGCGAGCGTCAACTTGCCGCTGCCAAATCTCTCGAATGCGTCTACCCATCCTGCTGCCGCACCAGGGACCGTTACAGCCAGAGGACTGTTTATAGGGATCTTTCCTCTGCTCTCCGCTGTTAGACCCAGTTCGTTTTTAACCCGGGCGAGGCTGCTGTTCTTTGCACTTCGACCAGAGCCGTTGAGGGCTGAGACCTTGGCCGTGGCAGCGTCAAAGTAGAGACAAAACATATCGCCACCCAGTCCAGTCGATGCAGGCTCGGTCACGTTCATGGCAGCGGCTATGTTTTTAGTTGTCCATGTCAGCTAGCTGCCTGGAGACTTCGAGATCTCGATCCGTTCATTATCAAGACTTACCCACTGCAATGGCGGCATCCGCAGCATTGCCTCCCATTTTCAAGATCCTCTGGCCAGCTTCTGCCGCCAAGGGCTGGGTGCAGGCAACCATTCCATTAGCTGAATGTACCACGCTTCTTCGTCCCGGAAACCGGGGATACCCGGCGTACCTGTCCTGAGCCATAACTGCCAATAAAAGCAATTTGCAACGTATGACAGGGCACTCATCAGCCTACTGAGAAGAAAATCTGCCAGTTAAGAGAGAGGGTCTCGATATAGTTGCTGACAAAAGACTATCATGGCTCTCCATTCAAATCACTAGAGAACAGTTCTTTCTGCCGAGAGACCAGGACCCGACAAAGCCGACAGCACCGAGAACACCGAGAACACCGACAGCACAGGTAATACTGAGATATGGGCGATGTACTTGGCCAATAGCGAGGAGAGACGTCCTGCTTATGCAACAGTCAATTGTCATTACTTGATTCGACACATCGGATAGCATCTGGCACTGGTATAGATCTATCGCTTGGTTAGTCTTTTACCTTCGGTTACCGTGCAGGGTGAAGCTCAGTCATGATTCATGCCTACCCAAGACATCACCATGCTGTTCACTCAAGGATTAAAGCATCAATAGCAAGCACTCGCTTATAAAGACGCATTACCAAGCTGCCGGTAATTATCGTTTGTCACTTATATCTATCTAAGATACACCCGAGCGAGCATGAAGTTGACTGGCAATGCGGAAGAAAATCCCTGTCCCCTGTGACCACCAGATCCAACTCCACAATCCCCGCACTCCGTGATAAGACCCAAGATAATAAGATTCACCGGCCGAAGTCGTCCTGTATTTTGGTCTTCTTCAACTTCAATTCCATCATCCAGTACGCAGAATGCAGTCCACCCAGCGCAAGTACAAAACGGCTTGCATAACTTGCCGCCATCGCAAGGTGAAATGCGACAAGATACTTCCCTGCCGAAACTGCTGCATAGCCGAAGTCGAGTGCCAATACCCATCACAGATACGCACTGTCAACAGGCCTAAGAGGGTAGAGAAGGAAAGGCAACGGTGGCAGCCAAAAGCAGCCAGTTCCGTCTCGTCAGAGCAGTCTGTTCTAAGCCGCCTTGATCGCTTGGAGTGTCTTCTGCAGAAAGTCATTACTCGCATCGATGCGGACAGCGACTCAAACGCCGAAGAATCCCCCAACGATGCGACCTGCAGCGCGAACAATGACCAACACAATGATTCAGCGATTCCCAATCCTCAGAACACAGAACCCTTTGAGACAGAGGCACAGCTTACGCCAGATCTCAACCTCGACGGTTCGCAGATGCTGTGGAGTTGCCTCAGCCCGAAGCAGAGCGACGATCTAGAGCATTGGCCTCAACTATCGGAGATGTCCAATCCCACGGAGGATCAGAATCAGGCCCCATACCACAAAGGTGCCACCTTGGGCTGGTCGCCAGTTCTGCCTCTTGAAACCCGTCGATTGTGCTGGTCGAAATACGTTGAGAATGTTGACCCGCTACTCAAGGTCCTACATACACCTACGGTAGAAAGGATGATGCTCACGGAAGCGCCAGACACCTCGGAGCTAGATCACTCTAGTATTGCCCTGGTAGAGGCTATTTGTCTCTTAGCCCTAGCTTCTATGACGGACGATGAAGTCGCCTTGCAGCTGGAATCAGATCGAGAGGATGCCCTGCAAGCATGCTTGTCGCATACAGAGAAGGCCCTTGTAGCAGCCAACATTCTCTCGGATGCGCAACTACGGACTCTGCAAGCGACCCTCTTATTCCTGTATTTCCTCAAGTACAAGGAAGATAGCCGGTTCGGCAATATTGCAGCCATGAGCATCTTTCAGGCCACTCGGATGCAGCTGCACCGTGACCCGGCCAATTCCAATACTGCCATGTCTCAACTCGAACTTGAGTTGCGGCGACGTCTCTGGTGGCAGTTTGTCGTTTTGGTCGATCACCCCGACGAGTCTATTCTCACATGTTTCTCCGTTATACAAGCACTTGGTTCTGACGCAAGACTACCTCTGAACGTCAACGATTCGGAGCTGGGTGCTGCGAGCAACGAACCCGCACATGGGCGGTCCGGCTTCACAGACTTGACCTTCTCCCTGATGCAATACGAGATTACCAAGTCGTTTGATCGTCTGAAGCGTGACGAACAGCAACAGCGGCTTGGAAGACCTGGCAGCATGACCCAGACCGACCTAGAAGCAAGGCTTCAGCATTTGAGAAGGAGTCTGAAGCAAAAGTACTTCTGGGGACCAGGGCGTGACACCAACTTGGGAGCGTTTGCGGCTGATACGGCGGTCATGATGATTGCGAAACGGGGTTACCTGCTCCTCGCATCATCAGCTCAGATGTCTGAGGACTGGGTCCTACAGTTAGGGGCACACGTACTAGAACTATCTAGAAACTTACAAAAATCATGTGGCTTTAGGCAGTGGCATTGGCTGAGCGCCACCTACTTTCAATGGACTGTAGCTGAGCTGGTGCTCAAGGGGCTAAGTGCCAAAACACGACAGAGCCCAGCAGCCTGCAGAGCTTGGCGGGCCGTTGACGGCCTTCTCAGCTGCTGGCCGGAATCAACGCAGAGATCAAGCAAAGCTGTGGCATTGCGAGAGCTCATGGCCTTTGTCCACGTTGCACGGAGCTTTTCATTGCCGCCTCATGGTAGCCTCGGCCCAAACGCACCTGTACCTGTTCATTATAGAGAACTAGGCTCAGGCTGGGGGGATGTAGGGACGGAGACTGAAGGGGGCCATGAATGTGGGCCGTATAAATCAGGGGAGGATGAAGGCTTATCACTTTTTGCGTTGGACGTCGATCAACTCTCGCTTGACTTGGGCCTTCCATTCAACGGAGCATTCCAATCGTAGCCGCGTTTGTGCGTGGTCAAGGGCTGACTGAACGGACCGAGCTCGGGATCGGCCTACTCGGTGTTCTCGGCGCTTTACACCCGGAGCTCGCCGCTCCAAGCAAGTAAACATATCATCCCATCAGATCAGTTTTGCAATCAACTAGAAAATGATAATTATACAGACGCGCATTGCATGAGTGAATAGCTGATAATGTCCCGTTAGTCAACTACCGTCAGAAATCACATCAGCTCGTCACGCATTTGCCCAAAGAACCAACATAGCGCAACAATGTGGGAGTGCGGTCCCGTCCAGCCTCAAATTGCCCTTTTTGCTGCCGTAGTTGGGGTGATTGCAATATGGATTTGGTATGGCAAGCCGGAACGTCTTCCCAACGTCCCGTTTCTACGGATCAGCGACAAGCCCGGGAAGGCTGGCGACGCCTCTGATGTACAGGCTTTCCTGAACGATAGCCTCAGCGCAATCATGAAGGGCTATAATCAGGTCGGTTCGCCCAAAAAGTGCATAGCTCGGCCTCGCTGACATATGTCGTAGTTCTCAAAGCATGGCAAACACTTCCTATTGCGAACGCCGACCCAGGTCTACTTCATGGCCGCCCCAAGTCTGTTGGACGAGATTCGAAAGATGCCAGAGAACAAACTCAGCCAGCCTGCAGCCGCCAACATCATCTTCCAGATCAAACATACCTTCCACCCCAAGCTGCTAAACGACTACTACCACTTCGACGTGGTCCGTAAGAGCCTCACACAGGGTCTTCCCCGGCTTATTCCTGACTTGGCATCCGAGACACAGCTCGCTTTCGACTTGGACCTTGGTCGCGCAGAGGATTGGAAGACGGCCACTGTCTATCCGCTGTGCTCTCAAGTCATCACCAGAGTTGCCAACAGGATGATGGTCGGCACAGAGCTATGTAGGAATGACGAGTTCCTACACTATTCGGCAACCTATACCAAAGCGACCTTCGATGCCGCTGCTATGCTGAGGAATGTGCCAGAGATGTTTAAATCGCTTAAGATGCGTATGAACACAGATCACCGGGCCCAGTCGGAAGTCGCTCGGAGGCTTTTGGTCCCGCTGATCAAGAGCAGACTATACCGGATGTCTACATCTCCCAAGGAATATGCAATGAACAAGCCAAATGATGCAGTGCAGTGGCTCCTAGACATCACGCCTCCCGAGAAACGCGATCCTGAGCTGCTACTGCAGCGAATGATTCACATCAACGTAACCGCTATACACGCGCCAACTGTCACCCTCACGGAATGCATATTCGATTTGTGCCGCCATCCTGACATCCACGCCGTACTTAGAGACGAGATTTACGAGGTGATGGGGTCACAGGCCGCCGGCAAAGTTTGGACGAAAGCCAACATTGACCGCCTTTCAAAGCTGGACAGCTTCATTCGAGAATCATCTCGGTTGACGCCCATGAGCGCAGTCAAGATGGAGCGTCTCGCCGTCCAGGACTTCATGTTCAGTGACGGCACATTCATCCCCAAAGGTACTTCCGTTGGCGTCATCTCCCACGGTCGCCACCTCGACCCCAACATCCTACCCAACGCCACAGAGTTTGACGCCTTCCGATATGACAAGGCAAGAAGAGAGCAAGAGGGTATGGAGAACCAGCTAACATTTGGCCAAGCCAGCTCAGAGAACCTGCTCTTTGGCCTAGGAAGGCATGCTTGTCCTGGGCGCCACTTCGCCTCCGTCTTGATCAAAATGGTGCTTGTGCACATTCTGGTCAGCTATGATATCAAATTCATCGAGGGGAGGCCGCCACCACAAGGGAAATGGACCCAGAAATTCCGCAACCCGGATTTCGCAGGCCCTATTTCCTGGAGAGACAGACCTCTGGAGGACAAGGAGCGCTTTGCCACATTGAGCGTCTGATGCTATGTATATATTCGCAATCTTTCAACCATTTTCTGTATATAGCTCTTGGCTCTGGGCGCCCTGATTTCTATGGCGGCAAGTATCCGTCTTGTTCTAGATGAGGCCTATTTTATAAGAATAAAACTCTATCCTATATCTTCCAAAGTCCTATTTGTATGAACTATATTGGTAGTGCAAATTGTGTCCAACTCGCCAACAGGGAGTCATATGCTCAGCTAATCCAAAATCCCACACAGAATCCTTATTTTACTTGCGAAGTTGTCACAATCTAACTCCTACTAACTCATCAGTTCCATCCAGCCACCTCCGCAACAGATGCAATGTCTCAACGTAATCAACGCCAGCATCCCGCCAGGTTCTCTTGTGCTATCCCGCCGGCCTATTGGTGAGAGCTTACTCATACCGCAGGATACCATGGAAGCCCTTGTCACTAATCACATCCCAAGTACTCCGGACCCCACAGTTTTGACCCAGCATGATTCTCCCAAAACAGTGATTGGAATATAGGATTCCTGGATGCGGGATTTCGAAGGTACGTGTCACATCTAGAGTCTCAGACCCGCCCGCCCGTCACCTACCCAACGGATCCACGGGGTCGATTGGCTTCCTCAAGAGAAAGCATGTTTTGCCCACCGATGTGGATCTCCTGCCAGTCATCAGTCTCTCTCGCCAATGGACGGCTCGCGCAAGGTGAGCTATAGCGCACTAGAAGTCCGACATATGAAGTGCTAGGTATATGGAGACGTGGCATTGACTCCCAGGAGATCGACGCCTAACCACATCGATCATCCTATCGCCTAGATGCACGTAGATTCAATGCCTGCTTGATTACACTACATTGCTTCTGTCTCCCGCCTATGGAGTAGATGCATCGAAAAGGAGCCAGGGGTACCGATTGGTCGAATATAAGGTTCCGGATGAGGGAAATTAACCCAAGTTTCATGCATGAAGACACAACGCCTGGTTGGGACATGTCACAACGAAGAGTGGACTTGGAATCACGAGAACATCTTGATATCATAAGAACAAAGCTTTTAACGCCTGTCGCTCGCTAATATGACCAAACTAGGAAATTCAAGCTCGCAGTGCAGTTATAACAAAAGAAAATGCATGAATGAAGAGAATAGAAGGACGCAAACAACCGGAGAGGTGGCACCCCTGCTCATGAAGAGATGGTGATGATTACACCGCAGCTGCAGCCGCAGACGACGATGCGGCCGCGGCGGATGAGCTGTTGGCAATGGACGAGCCCTGCGCCATCTGCATCTCAAACAGGCGGATAAAGGACATGACGGCGACAATCTCGAACAGCTCGCCCAGCTCGCCGGTGGAGCCCTCGTTGTGGAAGCGGAACTTGGCATTGTTGTAGCGCCAGCGCTCGCCGGCAAAGACCGCCACGACAGACCTGCCGTCGCTCGTGACGCCGCCCGCCTCGTCATCGTCGCTGCCGCCGGTGTGTGCGCTGGACGACGAGCCCGCGGGAGGGCCGTGGAGGCGCACGAGCTTGAGGCCGAATTGGAAGCCGCCAACGAGGTCCTTGACCATCCTGCCCTTGCTCTGGCGCCACTCGAAGGTCTCCAGGTGGCCGTCGGCGCCCACGGGGACGGCGAAGTGGTGCTTGGACTTGTAGTTGCCGTCCATGCTCGTCTCGAAGGGGTGCTGGAGGGCGCTGCCGCGGTGGGGCATGACCCTGAGGGCGGTGCGGGTTGTCTTGCTGCCCTTCTCGACGCCAGCCGAGGCGAGGGGCGCGTCGAGCTTGTCGGTGCCGCTGAGCAGGACGATGTCGGACCAGCCCATGGACCAGCGTGGGATCCTGACGAGGAAGAGGGGCTGGTCCTTGACCTCGCCGAGGTGCGAGTGCGAGCGCCCCACGCGGTAGGTGAAGACCAGCTGCTGGGGGAAGAGGATTGGCCTGCCGTGTCTATGCTTGGAGTCGGAGACGGCCTGATAGGATGGACTGGCAAAGTTGGTGTATGCTGGTGGAGCGCCAGCCAGAGCATCGTACCGCTCTTCGGACTGGAAGTAGTGCTGGTGATGATGGTTCTGCATTGTGGCTGGTGGGGTGGTGTGGCGGTGGAACAGAAGACTTCCAGGATATTGCTGTAAATAGGTATTGTGAATATAGATGCAATTGCAATGAGACGAAATGATGCTAAATCGATACAGAGCACGAGAGCTTCCTATCCTTTATATCCCCATATCCTCAAAATCCCATTTTATCAAAACATCCACGGTGCCTCTAGACAGCTCGGCAGTGTGATGCCAAAATTAACAGATTCGGATACTGTTCCTTGCGCCGGAGCACTCCGGTCATTGCTGATTGGCCAGTTTGTTGTTCTGTCGTTCAAGTGGCGGTGCAGCCACCCACTAGAGCCTTGAACGTTCTGGGGGGCTTCCAGAGGATCTTCGCCCAGAGCTCGGGGGCATTACCGCTCTGGGGAGGACCTGGAGCCTGAATGGGGCTGAGCTGACGCTGATTGGCCAGTTCGCTGAATGTTTAATCGTACAGCCAATCAGAGGTCGCGCTGGGAGATCTCACTGTTCACTGGACCGTTCTTCATTGCTCATCAGTGTCATCGATCGTCATGCAGCAGATAAGCTGCCGTCAGCAGAGGCCGCTGCAGAGGCCGCTCGCCTTCCACAAACAGCTTGCGATCATTCCATTTGGTCGTGCCATATTGCTACTTCAGGCCACCGATAAATCTTGGTGCAGAAACGCAGCGGGTGTTGGCAGTTTCACTATTGAGTGATACCAAGTACCTGCGACGTGCTGTCGCAGCCCGTATTTCCGGATTGTGATCAATCAGGTTTCACTACTTTCCTCAATCAATGCTTATTATGTTCGCATTGATGGTGGCTTGTCAGAATGGCCGCATGGACACACATTTTCCCTCGATTCATTTTTCGGTCTATTTTTTTTTCTCAATAAGAAATACGACAGATTAGGCACATCTTTATTTCTTTTCGCGTCATTTTCTTCGTTTCCTTCCTTTTGTTGCTCAACTTCAGCCCCCGCAGCTGAGTCTAGGGTATATGCTACGGTATGCACAGGAAATTGAACCAAAGGCCAAGAACCCCAAAAAGCACCCAATTTATCGTGTGCCAGCCAGATCTATCATATGCGCGCGTGCCACGTGTTCATCGTGCAGAGCATTTTATGATGAGATTGCACTAGCTGATCATGCGATGCGTTTTGCTTTGCACACGACACCGTTTCTTCTGCCAATCACCACCGCGCGCCCACCTGAAGCTGAAATCCAATCAGGAAGCCCCCAAGCTCTCAGGATGCAGCTGAACGCCGGTGATGCCAGGAAAGGGGCCTCGTCTTAGTCGAGCTGGGGTCAGCAATGCCCGCCGAGGGCTGCACCGCCTCGAGCGAGTGGGTGGACGAGCATCGCGAAAATGGAGTGTGATCACCGGCCCCGCTGTTAGTGCTCACCCGCCTCCCACACCGACACCACTAACAATGCCCGTCGCTGGTTTGGGTCAGACACAACATCTGCCTCTCAGGTCTGGTCAATGCGTCGACCGCCCTCGGATCACGCTCATTCAGCTCAGCGGGATCTGATCTCACATCTGTTGCATTGACCCACCATCTCTGCTCAATATTGACTCGTTGGGAGCAATATACAGGAGGGCCTCCCCTGTCCTGCCCGGCTAAATCTTCGCAACTCGCTTTCGTTGCTGTGCCGTGCGTTGGTCCGTCATGTCATGGTCAGAGCAGAGCCAACTGGCAGAGAGGGCACCGTAATCATTTCTTCGCCTGTGCTCATAAAAAGCCCCGAATCGGCCAGTTTCGCCAGACCTCGACGATCTACGCACGGGTCCTGACCCTGGTCTTGTCTTCGCGCTACTGCAGATCAAAAATTTACTCGCATCCGTTATATTCCACCCAAGTCGCCGTCTACTCGGCCGACCACGACTGGTACTTTCCTGAGGCTAGGGGTAAATATCGCAGGGATCGCCAATCGCCCAGCATTATGGACGTGTTGACGCGCGAAGCTGCTCCCTCGCCCTCGCTCTCGTTCACTTCTCTCGAGTCTGATGTGTGCCCCTGCCAGCCGTTGCCCTCGCTGTGGGAGCCGCGGGCCGCAGTGACATACCTGCCGCGGGAGATACTGCACGACATCTTCTCCCGGCTGCAAAAGCCAGACCTCCTGAGCCTGCGCCTCCAGTGCGCGTACCTGAGTGATGTGGCCACCGCGCTCGCCTTCAGGTCCTTGCGGCTCGTTGCGTACGGCCGGTCGCCGCTGGATTTCATCCACATTGCGCGTTCCGAGCGCCTGCGCGGGTTGGTCCAAGAGCTGACGTGCGACACCGCCATCCACCCCACGATTGTCGACTTCCGCGCCTATGGGTACCAGGAGCCGACAGAGATGCTCAAGGCGCTTGAGTTTGTACGGTTCTTTTATAATTTGAAAGCTCTTCATCTGAGGTTTACGCGGGACTACTGGTTCGTCTATGATGGCGAGTTTGAGTCCATGGACTTCCGGTTGCGGTTTTTACACACCGTTTTTTCTGGCATAACTGGGGAGTCGTGTCCAATTGACTGGGACGCGAGTTATGAGGATGAGAGGGAGTACCATTATCACACGAGTGAGCCTGAGGAGCAGGAGGCTGAGGAGGAGGGTCGGAGCGTTAATGAGACTGGCAGTCCGCTCGGGGACGGTGAGGATGGACTGCAACCCGATGATGCTGAACACGAGACTACCGATGGTGTTGTGGAACCAGAAGTAGACGAGCCTGAGGATGAAGATGACGAGGAGACCAACGGCAATGATTTTTTCGACCTCCTACAAATACCCTCAGAGCTCCTCAAGAACCCCCCCGATATCCCAATCGCCCCAATCAACCTTACTACATTCACAATCTCCAACCTGGCTGCGCAGAGAGACGCGAGGTTATTAGAGAACGGAGTCTTTTCTCAAATGCTCTCCTCGCGTAGTCTGGTCAGCCTCAAACTACTAATCACACCATCCATGGCTGGTATCGGAGGCTTTGCGGGCCGCAGAGCCGACATGAAAATTTCCATGTACGGCCACTTGCCTTCCACGTGGGTCATGCCATCTGCAGCTGCGAATCTCAAGGAGCTGTCTCTATACTCCCACGAATACTGGGGCTGGTTCCCCAAGCTGGACCTCCGGGACCTGGGCGGGATGCCTAATTTGAAGATCCTCGCCCTGGGCCACTATACCTTTAGCCACCAGTGGCAGGTCGACTGGCTGGCTTCTCTTAATCTAGAGGAACTCTATTTGGATCACTGCGCAATACTGCATCAGGTAGAAACCTGGGAAGGGTGGGTTGACGGAAGCTCGGCTTACACCGAAGAGGATGATGACAGTAATACGCAAGTATCCGTACCGAACGAAGGTTACCTCAACCCAGACTGGAGGTTCATGACGCGCGGCGAGGGTAGCGAGCTGGTCCTCTCTTATCCTCTGCGGTGGCACACAATATTCCGTCAGTGGGAAGCGTCAATGACCTCCCTCAAGGTTCTAAAGGTCGGCCTGGGCGCGTGGAGGGGCCCGCCTCAAGAAACAGTTGAGGCAAACTACTCCCGTGAAGAAGCGATGGAGAAGAGACAGAGATTCTCACACAACGCATTTAGATACTATAGATGTCCGCCGCCCGGTGGGAGGGGTGAGCACTATCGACAGGGCACTGGGATCTTCGAGGATCACGAGCTTGCTCTCCAGTACTTGTATTTCGAAGGGGCAGGATTTCAGACTTGGGACCACTGGGATGCTCATGGGAGGGTTGCGAGAAGCCAATCTGGCATTTCCTTTACCGACTGGGTGTTAGAGGATGGGTTGGGAGACAAGGATCGCTTGGCACAGAAGCTCTTGGTTTCAGCGATTCAGTCGTGAGGAAAGTAATACTAATACGGCCGCTACTAGGTTGCCTGTAGTATATTCACCCAATATAATACTACTTAATTGTTGAACAGTCTCTCAAATCGAATCGCTATGTTGTGGCCGAGTGTTTAGTGGACTACGGCCTGGTTGCATTGGCCCAGAATTCAACACAAAGATCATCCGATTGCGTAGCAGCATATGATCAACGGCAATTGTTCGTTCAAACTGTGCTTGTCGCTGGACTCTATGCAAAGTATTAAGACGCATATCATCATTTCTAGGAAACAAAACATATTGAGCTCCACTGTCAGATACCAAGTGAAGTATCGCCGGAAGTGGTGGATATGCTGCCCCTTTACCTATAATGCCGTCAGTATTGCCGCGGACTTTTGGTTCCCGCCAATATCGCATATCGTATTCTCCGATCTTGAACTACCGATACGATATAAATAACGGCAAGAAATAACTCCTACCTCGGAAAACATCCAAGAATACAAGCTCATAAGTTCTTTTTCACCACCCTGGATATCGAGGCAGGTTTCTCGCCGTCTCTCTTGTCCTTCTCGTCATGGGTGTCCTTCTCGTCATGGGTGTCCTTCCCGAGACAGATTCCTCCTCGTCCGAAGACCTTCGCCGAGCCAAAGACTCCTCCCGACACCTATCCTGGATCCAGTCTCTTTTCTTCCACACGCTCTCCGATGATGTATACAACCAGAACTACTCCGGCAACGGCACGGACGACGACCCTTACTTGGTTGAATACCTGCACAACGACTCCCAAGACGCCATGAACTTTACGAACGGACGAAAATGGGCCATCACAGTTCTCCAATCTCTGTCTACATTTGCGGTGACATTTGCCAGCTCAGTGTACGCCAGTGGCATCCAAGGCGTCATGCAGCGCTTCGAAGTGTCCGAGGAGGTCGCCACGCTGGGGCTATCGCTCTTCGTCCTGGGCTTCGCTCTTGGCCCGCTGATCTGGGCGCCTCTGTCAGAGGTATACGGGCGAAAGTCCATCTTCGCGATTTCGTTCGCGGCATACACGGCGTTCAGCGTGGCGGCGGCGTGTGCGCCCAACATCACGGCCCTGCTGGTTCTCCGATTCCTTGCGAGTGCGTCTGGTTCGTCCTCAATGACCAATGCCGGGGCAGTCATCGCGGATATGTTTAGCAAGGCGGAGCGTGGAATGGCCACGGGGTTGTTTGCCACGGCTCCCTTCCTGGGGCCTGCGCTTGGTAAGTAGCAGATGACTTTCCTCTATCCTGGCACTCTTGATTCTTGCCTTGACATTTGCTAATATTTATCCGGGTTGTTTTTGTTTTAGGACCAATTGCTGGTGGGTTTCTCGCCGAAACTCAAGGCTGGCGCTGGATCCTCGGCCTGGTAGCTATACTGAGCGGTGTCATCTGGATTGCCACGATGCTCGTCAGTCGCGAAACATATGCGCCGTTTATCCTTCGACATCGATCTAGGGCCCTCTCCCAGATGACGGGGAGTGTATACGTGTCTCGTCTCGATGCGGGAAAACCGCCTAAGACAGTGGCACGGCAGCTGTCCAAGTCCTTCACGCGGCCGTGGGTCCTGCTGTTCCGCGAGCCCATTGTCCTGCTGACGTCGCTGTACATCTCCGTCATCTACGGCACGCTTTATATGTTCTTTGCCGGATTTCCCATAGTTTTCCAAGTTTCCCGGGGCTGGAGTCAGGGCATCACCGGCCTTCCTTTCGTGGGCGTCGCCGTTGGTGTCTGCCTTGCTACAGTCCTAGGCGGCCTGGATAGCAAGCGGTATGGACGTCTGTGCGAGGCGGCCGAAGAACATGGTTCGACAGTCGAGCCTGAAGCCAGGCTGTATCCGGCCATGGCGGGCTCTGTTGTCCTTCCGGTTGGTTTGTTCCTGTTCGCGTGGACGACGTATCCGTCGGTGCATTGGATCGTGCCCACCATCGGCGCCATGTTCTTCGCATGTGGACTTGTCATGGTCTTCATCTCACTGATAAGCTATTTGGTCGACTCTTGTACGTTTTTGGTCCTCTCGACACGATTATCTGTAGCAATTGACATGCTTACCCGTCTATAGATGTCCTCTATGCTGCTTCCGTGATGGCAGCCAATTCGGTGATACGATCCTTGATTGGCGCCGCGTTCCCGCTGTTTACCGCCCGGATGTACGAGAATCTCGGAAATCAATGGGCGAGCTCCATTCCTGCTTTCTTGGTGCTTCTGTGTCTACCTTTCCCATTCTTGTTCTACAAGTACGGTTCACAGATAAGGTCTAAGTGTAAGTATGCTTCTGAAGCAGCCAAAGTAGTCCAGATGATGCGCCGTCCGCAAGCTACTGTGATCGGGGGAGATCGAAATGGGCCAGAGGAGGCTTGACAGGTTGTTAAATGGGGGGATTTTAATCCAAGAGTTCATGGTACGGCCCGCGGTACACCATTTCGTGGGGGACATAAAGGCATAGATAGCGTTTTTTGCTGAGAGTAAAATCTCTTTTGTTTTATATTGTCACTGAATAAGATTGAATTGGGAGGAGGAGAAAGATATTTGTAAGGCACCCATAATAGATTTCTACACGGTTGATAAAGACCAGGATAACCGCAGGATAACCCACGTCAAGTAATATCAATCAGTGAACTCTAGCTCACCAATCTGCCACTCATCCAAGAAATCAAACCCTAGAAAATCTACATTGGGGGACAGGTTATTCACGGGCGGCTCTGATTGAGACGAATCTGCGGCCATCTGTGTGTGCGGCGAAGTGTAAGCGTCGATGGTGTTGTCTTGCGACTGCGGCTGGACAGATTCTTGATGCAGGCTGCTGAGCGAAATCAAAGACAGGTTTTTCTTTGCAAGGACCTCCTCAAATACTGGAAGTGCTCTCTTCAGTGCAGGTATTTCCTTTCCGTGGCTGAGAATAATCATTATCTGGTTGATGGATATCCGAGCCATGGAACGTATGAGGTCTGTTTCGGTTAGGTCAAGAGCCGATTCGATGTGAAGAGCGAGCAGGGCGGCCAGAGTCGTGATACTGATAATATGAATGTTGTTGTTAGAGCGAGGGCATCCACAAGAAGTACAGAGAAGAGAAAATAGGAGACGAATTGGAGCACCTACAAAGACATGGGGAAATTCCGAAGGGTGCCACTACTGAACACCCTCATCGCAATCGTGTCCAGTTCAAGGATAGTTGACCGCAGCCGTACTTTGACCCATTCGCTCCAGTCCGTATGCTGGGATTGCTGCCAAACACGGCGCATAAGACGACACAAGACGCACTCAAACCTGTAGCTCATTGCTTGTATATTTAGATAGTAAACATCAGTTCCAGTATCCTCGCTGACATGCATCTTGGCAGCGAGGGACTTCCTCCATGTATCGAGCGAGTGCATAATTTGGCGAGGATCTTGCTGTGGCTTGCTCGTCACATCGGACAAGCACTGCCCAACTGATGAGTGTCAGTTATGCTTAAGATAAGCTCAGTTGCAGAAGGCAGATGCAAACGGGAAAAGAGAAAGCAATACAGACAGAAAAATACGCACAGATAAGAGATAACTCGCAATGGACGATTGGCAAAACTTTTTGCTGGGGAGTGACGGTAGATAATATGCCACCGGACGATGCTGCGGAGAGATCATCTGCTTCCCAGTCATCTTCCGTCCTAGGCTTGATTGTAGCGGTATTTGCGAGCAGTCTATGGCGCCTGGTATTGGCAAAAACGTGAAATACATCTAAACACTACCTCAATACATTTAGCATGACTCAAGAAGACCGAAGCATGGAAATGAGAAGGGAGACTTGCGTATAGAGCCCACCACATCCTTCGATATAGCTTCAAGACTCGGCGAGGTTTACTTTCTCGAACACACCTATACAAGAGCTTTTTGTCAATTCTTATTATGTCCAAAACATAGCACAAGTGATAGGAGAGAGGCACGTACGTATCGCGTAGGTTAAGCTTGTTGGCGAGGTTGATGGCGTTGTGGAACCAGTAGCCAAAGTCCCGGCTCGTGGGGTGGTCGAGAATCACCGAGCACAAGATGATAGATCCTTGGAGCATCATCAACGGGTCGGCGTCAGCGACAAGGCCATGGAGTAGATTGGCCTTGGCAAAGAATGACGCTTGCGCAGCTGAGCGGCTGGGAAAGCCACATGCCGATAATACATCCACCGGCGCGTGGAGGCTGGCTGGTGTCAGCATAACACGGAGGAGGAACAAAGAGCAGTCCCCAGACTCATAGCCGCGGATAAACTCGGCTCTGTTTATTACAGGAAGAAAAGGATGTACGTGGTCAAAGTAGGCTTTTACGAGGGCATCTCTATTGATTTATGTCTGTGAGTAAGACGAGGACAGACAATGAAAGTAGGGGATCCCAAAATTGTCTTACAAGTGATGTCGTGGGGGTAGATCAAAGACCCCCTTCTTGGCAAGATATTCGTTGTCAATGTCATCCAATTGGGAGAGCCTGGCCCAACAACAGTTGCGAGGAGTAAGACTGGGTTCAATCTCTGAACGGTACGCGGCGCCGGAAGCGGAATGAAGCCGGCTTGATGTTGCAGATGCTTTTACGGCGTCGTTCAGAATGTTGATGTAGAGAAGATCTGGCTCAGTCTGATGTGGGCTTTCATAGTCCGGGGAATCGGGATTGGAGGGGTGTTGTGCTTGACTAGATTGATAGAGTTTATCTGAAGGATTGCTGTTGAAGGCGGCCGGGCCGCTTATAGTCTTATGAACAGATATTAGAGGTTCTGTAGCATCGCTAAAGTAGTAGACGGAAAGGGAGAACGTTGAGGGACCGCTTGTGATATTAGAGTAGGAGGGCAAAGCAAGTATTACCTTCCTAATAAGCCCATCTCGTGTTAGCACACTCTTGATGAACTTGGGCCATCAGGTCAATTTACAACTAACTTGGTCCGGGTCTTACGGGTCGGCAGTACACAGTCATCGATACACTGCCTAGCGGAGCAGCTACCGCAGGGGAGGCCAACCATGGCCGCATCGCATTTGATCTTGCGTGTACGGCAGGGCACGCAGGTCCTATTGATTTTGAGCGCCCGTTTTCGTACCTTGGCCGTCCTCTGCGGCTCACTGTTGGCAGTAGAAATATCCATAAATCCGATTGATTTGTATCGTATTGACCTGGTCGGCCAGGGCTTACGTGTCTGTGAGACGGAGTTTTCTATTTATGCATTGAGACTTCGGCGATAAGTCCAAGTTGCACGTCAGTTCGGTATTTTGTATATTGCCGAGCCTAAACCCGCCTTCAAGGGGTTGCTCCGAGAGAATATGCCGGAAGCCTAGACCATGATGAAATATCTGGATGGGCGCATATCTTGTGCTGATTCACATGCAACCGCAATGACCTTGATCGGCGTTGCGAATGTGCAAATGGGCTGCTATCTTCTTTCCTCCTTTCCCTTCAAATAGGCACAACCCGTCCCAAAAAGGCATCGGCGAACCCCGTAGAGGACGGTCTCCTGTTGGTGCAGAAATGGAAACGAGGCCCTCCAGCGTACAAACTTGAGTAAGTGGGATAATCTTACCTGCCTGCATTGCTGCGCCCCCGACTCCGCCGCCTCAGCCACTGGTCTGTGTCGCAATTTGCTCTTCCATCTATTATTGCATGTCTCATCTTCAGTAAATTCTAGTTGCTTCTCATATCTTTCCCTTTCTCTCCGGCTACCCGTAAACCTACGACCGAATCAAACAGATGAATTGTCTATGCATGCTCCGAGACAGATGGCATCTTGGACGCAAGAAGGATCCCGGATCCCCGAATTATCCGCCATAAGCCAGGAGAGTGACAGACAGAATGTTACAAAACCTGTAGGTCAACACCATGATTTATAGCAATAAGATAAATCTATCACTTGGAGCCTAGACTGAATTGTTCCGCCTATAGACAAATTGCGATATTTGCGAGAAGATACGATCTGTACTGTGTGAGCCACCCGAGCGTGGCGGGTCTACACTTGGATCAGGCATCAACGTCTTATGTTCTCAGCCAAGATGCAACCGACATCACGACCTAGTCATGTCTGCCTTGCGCCTAGATCACAGCGTGTCCGCCGATACAATACACACGCTAGCTAATGAGATCCAGCGCTTGGATGTACACAAATGCCCATTAAATATGGCCACTGTGATCACTCCAACAATGCGTTCTGAGGCCACGCTCACCAGGCCGCCAATCTCCGCGTTGTATCTCGTGGAAAGACCAGAAACGGCAGATGAAAGAAGCATAGGACAACTACTTGATGCACATTGGATTGACCGAGATCTAGCAGGCTCGTGGAAGTCTGCATGCGCTAGTCTTCACGATGGCCTTTGCAAGGAATTTCCCAACAGAGCACTGTCATCCATAAGGCCTGCATGGCTTGTAGACGTCAAGCGTCAATGCCTCGTCGCAGCCACGGAAGACTGCTCCTATATCGCCCTAAGTTATGTATGGGGTAGTCAATCGACTTTCAACACAACTGAGAGTGACCTCATCCGTCTCCAAAATGAGGGATCGCTGTCGGGACTACTGACCAAACCTATCGCGAGAACAATTAGAGACGCCATGGGTATAGTCGAGCTATTGTCAGAGCAATACCTATGGGTGGACACTCTATGCATTGTCCAGGATAACATCGCACAAAAGGGCCTAGAGATAGCAAAGATGGCCATGATTTACGCCAACGCTTCTGTCACGTTATTTGCTGCCGGGGGAGAACATGCCAACAGCGGGTTACGCGGCTTCCAGGGTATATCAGAGCCCAGACGTTTGCATCAGACTATTCACTGCATAGACGAGAGAACAAAGCTGGTGACAACTCCTGTTTCAGCTTCACAGGCCAATCTCTTTGAGCCTGGAGAAGATCATTCAATTTGGGAAACTCGAGGATGGATATTCCAGGAGTCCTTCTTTTCCAGAAGGAGGTTGATTTTCAATGGGAACTCTATGCGTTGGGAGTGTAAGTCTGCCGTCTGGCGGGAACACGTTCAGCTGCCTCCAGATCTCGACTCAACCCAGGCAAGGGTCATCCCATGCAGTTTTATCATGGAAAGTTCCATTCCAAACTTGAGTCTTTTCAGCATCATTTTGAACGCTTATAACAAAAAGGAATTCACCTACCCAGAAGACTGTCTTCATGGCTTTGCGGGAATATCGTTGCTGTTGAGCGCTCAACTGAGTGGTGGCTTTGTATCGGGTCTCCCAACGGCGTTCTTCGATCTAGTCCTGTCATGGGAACCTGGAAGTCAGTTAACCCGCAGGGTTGCCAGGGATTTGACGAGGGCGAATGAGCTGCCCAGTTGGAGCTGGGCTGGATGGTCTGGCAGCATTCTTTTCAGTGTTGAATCCGCGCTTGACTTCATCAAAACGGGACATTAATGGAAACAGAGCAACATTCGAGGCACGATACGAACTCGGTTTTGGAAATTACATGAGGCGCCAAACTCCGCTGGCACGCCAATTTGTGCTAGCATCTTTGATTATAAAGACAGGTTGAAGTCGGGACGCTTCGACTATGACACAAGCTGGTCAAAACACACAGTTTCGGAGAGTTTCAAGCCGGATTCATGTCATCCAAGCTCCATTTGCCGTACACACTTCTACAACCACGAAGCGTTCCCTTTTTATGAGTTTTGGTACCCCATCCCGCTCATGCAGCCAGAGGAGGTGGTGCCTGCTGTGTTATCGCCGTACATATCATCTACAAGTCAGCGGGCCTGGTTTTTCTGTGATCGAGAGCCTTGGATGTCGACGAAAGGATATCCACTACTCTCCCTTCGTAAACGTGACGGGAGCTGGGCTGGAATCTTGCAACCCCATGACGGGCTCGACATATCAGGCCTGGCATTACAAGACCCTGATGAAGCGGTTGAATTAGTGGAAATTGCGGCGGGATTCTGTTCGGAAACAGAATGGTCAGGCGTCCACGAGATTCGACACCAAGAGAGGCCCAAATCAAGTCGTTGGTATGAATACTATACTGTTATGTGGGTTAAATGGGTCAAGGGTGTCGCTTATCGTAAAGGACTAGGCCGTGTCCATAAAGCTTGCTGGGAGGCGCAGATAGGAGAGCCGTTTAACTTTATATTGGGTTAGAATTAATTCTACTCTTTTGGTAGATAAGATAATAGACAAAACTTCTCTATATATATTCAAATTGGGTAGATGTGGATATATATATATATTAGCTGGTCCTTATTTGCCAAGCAATCAGCACGAGTTTACACCTGTCCTCGTAGCCTCCCCTGGAGTATTCAGAGTAACAGTGAGTATTAACCAGGGGGGTTCCGCATAGAGTTAGAACTATCAGATATACTAATATTATATAGTAGTACTAAAATTATAGCAAGGGTCTGATTACTTAACCCTATACTTATAATATATTTACTCTATATAAGGAATTTACTTATAAGTATATAATAAAAATCTCTAAAACTTATAATTAAGAGTAATAAGAATTAGAAATAGATCTATAAATATATATTTATTATATATAGTTAATTAAATAAGTATTATTAATATAAATAATATAGAGTTTTATAAACTTATTAAAAAAGTTTAATAAATATTTTAAATATTTATAAAGTTCTTATTTTATAGTTTTTATATTTTAATTTAATTTTAATTTTATATTTCTCTATAAAAATTATAAATTTAAAAGAATTTTTAAATAATTTAATTAAAATTCTATAATTTTTATTATTATTATATAATAATTATATTTTTTATTTATTTTATTTTATATTATA